TGCTATGTTTGATTACCAGAGGGTAACAGGGGGGATTTCTTGGGATTTTTCAGGAGTGCCTCCGTCGCCACCGGAGCTGCAGCTGGTGCAGCCGCAGCGGCTAAAGCACGTGGGGCCCAACTCCTACAGGGAGTCCACATGTCTCGTGGCACCGATGAAAAATGAGGAAATGTACGGAAAGTGTGTGGAAAAACTTGGACAGATCTATGGAAATTAAGGGACATCTATGAAAAGTAATTATGGGAAATGTGTGGAAAACATACAGGAACTTACTTCGTTTCATACAGTCGAAAAGTGCCACACCGTTGTTCTTTTTATGGATATGCATGGGAATGCATCGGAGACATAATGCGAGATATCTCCATATATATATTATATTCTACACAACCTTACCTCATGGGATTTGACATGGACAAATATGGGACTATCTAGGGATATATATATATATATAATGGGAATATCACCAACAATAGGATATCATTGGGATATGACGGGGTGTCGTTTGCGTTTAGCAATCTCTCATGGCAAAATCAAATGGCATGATGGCACAGTTGGCACATCATATGTATATGGACTAAAACGAGAACTTAACCAACAATAAATGATACCCTCTGAATATTTAACATAGCTATGGAAAATGGTCCATTTATAGATGATTTATGATGATCTACCTATTAAAAAAGGTGATTTCCCATGGCCACGTCAAATAACCACAGGGTAATTTGATATAACCCATTTGGGTTTGTCTGAACATTGTGCATATCGCCCAAGTTTGGTAATACAAAGATCAACGAGTGGTACCTAATTGTCAAACAAACCCAACGATGGGATTCAAATAGATTCAAATCTTGGAAATTCAGGGAAACTAACTAACTATTGGAAATTCACGTGCAATCTGGAAAGATCCGGAATTCTTGCTTTCAAAGGGGTACCTTGCATATGGGGGACCCCAAGATATTACGAATATTGGTCATGTTGTCCATGAAAGGTGTACCCAAATTTTAAGAAACACCCAACCTACAGGATTATATCATCTGGTTGGTGGTTGACCCACCCCTCTGAAAAATATGAAAGTCAAATGGGATGATTGTTCCCAATATATGGAAAAATAAAAGCCATGTTCCAAACCACCAACCAGTCATTCAAAGTACTTATGGGTTTTACTTCAGGGTCTAGGTGTTGGTTTCCATCCGTCAACCACAGTGAAACCATCAACATCTAATAGTTTGTAGGAGTGGGCCATGCGTATCCATGAACCAAACACTTAAACCCAAAAGCATACAACGTGGTGCCCAATAATAAGTTGGTTCTAACCCTACGTTTTGTTTTTTCATCACCATGAACCCAACAGTTCACGTCAATTCACCATCTGTAAGTGTCTACCAACTTCAGGATTCCGAACCAGGGGCAATATGTAATGACATATTATTTAGACCAACGACATGTTCCTCATTTTCCCACACATTTCATGGTTGAAAACCCATGTCCGGGTTTTCCCACACTTTTCCCACACTGTTTTTCTGGCACAAAATCCCCTGGTCCATCCTGGGCTCATGTCGCGTGACCCAGGCCAATGTGGCAACAGCTGCGAGGCCCAGACCATAGAGCCAGCGAGTTCCTGGATTTGTGCAGTGCATGGGTCCCCGTTATAGCAAAAAACAATCGGAGAATGGTGATTGAAGCATATTGAAGTAACAAACACTGGGGATTTTCTAGGATTTATAGCTGATTTGTGATAGCCGGTAACAAATGATAGCTACCTTCGTTGTCGTAGTTGTACACCAACAACTCGCAATTCCAACACTTAGTGATATACCATGTTGCACGCATTTACATCCCAGCAACGTCCCTTACAGCTATAGCCCTTTTCAAAACTACAAGTGGCTTAGAAAGCCTCGTTTACGTGACATTGTTCAACTTAGCTGCAGGAGCTATTTCATCCCATGGCCAAAACTGTTAAGGGGTTAGTTGACCATCAAGCAGGGGAACAATGGACTTAACCAACAAAAAATGGGGGAGTTATAGTTGATCCATAGTTGGCTAAGTGAACATAACTCCAATAACTATGGCTTATGATCTATTAAGTATAGTATGCATGCGGTTTATAAACCAACGGACACAACTGGGGGGGCACATTGTGGGGAGATGAAAACCAACACAAATGCTGGATGAAGAGGAAAAAATGGCAAGGATCTTGCGATTTAAGGCAAGTCACTGGGATATCATAAGGGAAAAAGGTGGTGAAACATGGTGATTTAGACAAGAGTGTGGGGATATCATGGTTATGATACCAGTATGGTATAATGGATGAAGCAACAACATATGCTGATAAGATATTAGAATGTACCTTTCTCGTTTACCTGGATATTGATATACCTTCTGGCAATTTAACATAACTATGGAAAGTTCACTATAAATGGTGATTTTTCCATAGTTATGTTAAATTTCCAGAGGGTAGTATAACTCATAGGTAACCACCAACTGGATTAGTTAACTAATGTTAACTAAACTTACTAAACTACAACTATAGTACTATGTTACTATAACTATTAGTGGTTTATAATGAATTGTATTTTATTGAGTTTCAAGTCCCAAGTCCGACATTGTCGCACGCGGCATCCCAACAAGGGAACTCCTGACAGAACTGGGCAGCGAAGAGTTCAACCTCCGTTCTGGTGGGTTTCATTGAAATTGGAAGTATATAGTTACAATACTTACAATGTGGGGCCCCCAAGATAGCTAAGTTGGTTTATAACTCCAATAACTATGGTTTATGGTACTTATAACTATAGTTAATGGGGTTTATAAACCAACTTATAACTGGGGGGCCCCACATTGTACTTACCCCAAAATACCATATTCACCATATGAATTGTCATAGATTTGCCTAAAATTTCCCATGATGAACTATGATTAACTTATGAATTCAAAAAAAAAACATCATTTCCCATCTTGGCTTTACTGTGTACCTCACGACATATTTTCTTGGGTCTCCGGTGTCTCTCCCATCCGCGGCTACAGTCCCAGGTGCGGCCGCCAAAACGACGGCCGTGGGTCGGCGCCATCCAAAACCGATCAAGGGGACCCCTCCGATCCGCCGACCAAGCCAAATCTGCGGTAAGCCGAGAATAGAAGCGTAGCTTTTTGATGCAGCAAAAAGAGAAATCAGGCCCCGAATAAAAACATATATATATATATATATTTGTATATATACACATAAACTATATATATATATATTATATACATTTAAATTTGTGTATATATATATATACGTATGTATATATGTATATTTATATATGTGCATATATATATATATATTGCATTTCTGTATATATATATACACACAACACCATCTGTATATACATATATATATATATAACACCATATGTATATATATATATAACACCATATGTATATATAATATTAAATTATACAGTATATGATCGTACATGTATATACATATATATATATTGCAAATCTTTATGTCCAGTTAGGTCCCAGTGAGTTCCTAACAATTCATCCAAATAGATTCGATGCTTATTGTTATTAAATTTACACATGTTTCAACTTGTTTACAATTGTTTACAGTATCTCAGTAGGATCTATGGGACTATGGTCCTAGTGGCTAATCATTAATATATTTAAAGTAAATTCTGAGCTGTAGCCACTTGTAGCTGTGCAGGACAACAACATTGACTGCACATACAATTAGGAAACTGCCCTTCTTGGAGGTCAAATGGCCTGATTTTTGAGGAAATGACAAGAGAACCCATACAAATCTCCTGTGGTTGGCGACTCTAACAAAAAGCCCTTTACCTTCTAGCAAACTAACACAGCGATGTTTCAAATGGCCCATTTCGACTTGACTTACCCATTGGTAATGGTGATGTTCCATAATCATCTTAAATTACCCATTGATAATGGTGATGTTCCATACTCATCTTAAATTCCCAGATAGTAAACAAGGTTTGAATGTCATTTATGGGATCATAAACCCATTCGAACATGGATGGATTTTGGGTACCGCGTTCCGTTGCGGTTCACCCAGATCGTCAGAGATCTGCTGAATCTTACATGTTCATAGTCAATTACTAGAGATCTTGTTCTCTTTCTGTCCGACATGTCTTTTCTGCTTCAATTTAGGTACTTTAGATTAGTGTCCTATTTTCTGGTCATTTCTTTGGTCAATGACTAGAGATCTAGTTACCGGTACCTCTTTTAAGTCATTTTCAGACATGTTCAGTACGGCACTAAGAGAGGCTTTTGTTGACCCAAACGTGGCGCCCGTAAACGGCCAAAGCCTACTTCGCCTGTCCCACTACTCTCTGATAGCTCAACGTAGCTATTGGAAATGGCCATTAATAGTTGATTAACCGGTTAAAAATGGCAATTGTCCATAGCTATGTCTGTTTACCAGAGGCTCCACTTTCGGATCCTTGGAATCCTTGGAATTGGACTTCCGAGCGATCAACTTCACAATCAGCTCGGGTGGCGGCCACACAAAAAGGTCGCCTTTGCTGAAAAACATGATTATGTATATATATATATATGATTATGATGATTATCACCAACCCAACATATTCCGAAAGAAGGTTACTTAGGCTGGGTTGAAAAATCACAATGTATATATATATAATTATATTACAGTATATATATATATATTATATTACAGTGTATACATATATTATATATACAATTATATACATCATTTCGGATGACACCTTGATGGGGATATGCACAAAGGCTCACAGATATGTGACGTTTCTGATTTAAAAAAAAAAAAACTTCTAGCAGGTTGAGTATGATCATCCAATGAAAATCCCATGCACAATCACACAGGATGGTGCCCCCCAGTTATAAATTGGCTTGTAACCCCATCTAAATTCAGGCATTTGCGTATCATACACCAGTGTTATTATAGTTATTTGCGTATCATACACCAACTTAGCTAACGAACTGGGGCCCCATCCTGCAACTTTTTATCCCTCGTGTTTTCATCGATTTCATCTCCCACTGGTGCCCCGGGGCCCCCAGAGGGGACTTTTTTGGACCGTCCGGAGCGAGCTCGTGGCTTCTCCTGCAACGGAACGGTCCGTTGCAACCATTTTTTTGGGGGGGGATCATCCGATGTCGAAATCAACAACTGAATGTAATTCACATATTGGATCATTCTATTGTGTATATATATATATTCCCTTTGAATCACAGTTTTTGTATATTAATACTAATTTGTATTATATCACAGTGTAGACACTGAACATCAGGGATGAGAGAAATGATCCAAGCGTAGTGATAGCGGTTCGCAACGCTTGAAACATGTTATGTTTGGGCTCTCCCTGGCTCCCTGTTCCAATTCATCACTTCAGGTTACGGATCTGCACCATTCAACTCCCGTTCACCACTTGGTGTTCCCATCATTTTCTTGGTCTCCCCATGTCAAATGCTCATTTTTCCAGTTGCTTTATAAGTGTGAATCTATGTAAAAATTAAATCCTAAACTCCAAAGCCATTTGGCACATGTCCTCCAATGGTTGCAGATTGAAACCCACACTTATATGGGCCATGGGACTAGGTAACTGGCTAGTAACTCTCTGTTGACCCAATTACCAACTTATATCACTTATATCACTTATATCACTTATATCACTTATATCACCTTATATAACCTTATATCCCAGTTACTCATCAGTTAACAAACAACCCATGGGCCATCTAAACAGTCTTTTCTGTTGCACAGATCTCATGGCAACGGGCGCGTCGCGCGCCTGCGCAAACGCATGCCCAAGGCCTTTGCTTGGCGCTCCTCGACGTCGATGCCCAATGGAAATTTCAACATTTTCCTGGGTGTATCTGGAAATGAGGCATACCATGGTATACCCCCTTAAATGGCTACAGTTACACGGAACATTATGATAAACCATTGGTTTTTTGGGTTTTGTTTTCAGATCCATTTCTTGGCATGGTTGAGCTGGAGAATGTTCCAGAATTGTCAGATGTTTTTTTGGGGGGGGACATGTAGTCTGGCTAAACTATATACAACATGCAATTTTTGAGAAACATCAAATGTGTTCAGGATATAAATGGGGATTAAATTGCGGGGATATACAACAACAAACAAGAAACAGCAAACAACAACCAACAACAAACAATCAACAACGGACAACGACAACGACAACCACCACGACACCGACAGCGACAACGACAACGACAACCACAACGACAACAACAACCACAACCTTAACAACAAACAAACAAACAAACCAACCAACCAGCCAGCCAGCCAGCCAGCCAGCCAACAAACAACAAACAACCAACAACCAACAACCAACAATCAGCAACTCACAACCCACAACCGACAACCGACAACGACAACCACAATAACACCGAAACCGACAGCGACAACCACAAGCACAACCGCAACCGCAACGGCAACAACAACAACAACAACAACAACAACCTTGGTGATATCGTCCACCCCTCTTAAGCATGCAATATTCACAGATAAATGATGCATCTATCTATCTACCTACCTACCTACCTATCTATCTATCTATCTATCCATCTATCCATCTATCCATCTATCCATCTATCCATCTATCCATCTATCCATCTATCCATCTATCCACCTATCCATCTATCCATCTATCCATCTATCCATCTATCCATCTATCCATCTATCCATCTATCCATCTATCCATCTATCCATCTATCTATCTATCTATCTATATATATATATCGATCGAGCTATCTATCTATCTATCTATCTATCTATCTATCTATCTATCTGCAAGTATATTTCCATCTAGGCATTTACAGTTTACGCAGTTATGGGGCACCACTTTTTGAGCACAACACGACCACCCCCAAAACAATGGATTATAGCTTCATTGAACAAACTATGTATGTCATCAGCACAAACCCAACAGTGAAATCTTTTGTCTACCAACTTAGCTAACCTCAGAGACTGGGATATATTAGTGAACAAAATCAACACGTCGCAATTACGGTTCTTAATAATAACTAACTAACCACAATTAACCCTCACTACCTTCCCCATCAACAAGTAATTAACCGTCCCTATCCATCTAAATAACAATGTACTTATCCATATAATGATCCATTCACCCCCATTTTCCATAATTCACCATCATTCTCCCATCAAACCCTACATTTTCCATAGCTGAATCATAGGGGGAGAATGGTGGGGGAACGATGGTGAAACCCTAAGGTAGCTTGTTTTCCATGGGGCTATTAGGGGGAAAGCCTTCATTTTCCATAATTTACCATCAGCATCCCATTACTAAACCCATAAATCCCATAAACCCTACATTTTCCATAGGAAAATGCTGGTGAATGATGGAGAATTACCACTAATGCCATTCACCGTCCCTATCATTCACCATCATTTTCCATACCCTCCGGTAAACGGGCTAACATAACGAACTGGAAAGATCCACCATGCCATTAATGGGTAAATCAACTATATTTCGACTGGGCCATGGCTTCAATCGCTCTTTGACTGTTTACCAGAGGGTAAACCTCCATTTTCCTATGGTTTTCCCATGGTTTTCCCATGGTTTTCCTTCACCAAGCCACATCAGCTGCTGCCCGTTGCTCCGCAGCAGCTGTTTCTCCCGCAGCTCCAGCAGCGCCACGCTGAGCCCTGCCAGGTCCGCCGCGGTGCACCGCGAGGTGAGCAGCTCGTCCCAAAGCTCCAGGACCGTGGCGCGAGGTAAACAACTGGCCTGTAAGGTTGATGTGGGATGGGGAAAATTATACACTATATTCTATGTTATTAAATGATTTATGAAGTTACATATATACTACATGATATAATTAGCTACGACTAGATATAATTATATACAACTTTAGAAAATTAGGTTTAATTCGATTTATTTATATATATATATTATATATATATATACATGTATTAATACCCTCTGGTAGTTTAAGCTGGCTATGGAACATGGTCCGTTCATAGATTATACATACACCTAGTTGTGGTGGTCTTCCATAGCTATGTTCAATTGCAAGAGGGAGTATACATGTGTATATATTTATACAGACACACAATATAGGATATATATATATATATATTAACAGTCAATAATTTTACATATCCTTAGACATATACTCATAATTATATATTGAACGCGTGACTGAAGCAATAAGCATTGCAAATCACTGGCAAGAATTGTCGAAACATAATGTCACCAATCATGTCATCATCAACTATAACATCCTAAGACTATGACAGACAGTTCTTGCTAATAAAGGATTGGGGCATCTCATAATGTGATAAACCATCTCCAATATTCACAAAACCGGTGGTAAAGATCATCGTCCAAGGTGCAAAGAGGGAGATATGCCAGGAATGTAGAAACTGCTCCACAAGGATTCCATTCTCATCCAAATGGTTGCAGAGCTTCGGCAGCAACTTCTGCAAGAGTTCAGAGCTTTTCTCCGTCGACTCTCCTGGTGCCGGCGCATGCCCCAAATTGCTGGTTGGCCATACCTGTTCTGAGCTGTACTCTCGAATGAATTTACGTGGAAAGGAACAAAAACCCTTTGCGGATCATTCCAATGGTATGATATTCATCGATATTCAATGCTGGTGGTTTTTCGCCACCCCTCCGAAAAATGATGGGGTTCGTCAGTTGGGATGATGACATTTCCAATATATGGAGATTATAAAAGCCATGTTCCAGTCACCACCAACCAGGATATGGATCATCTCCCTGGAAACACGTGGAGATTCAATGATTTTCATGGGTCGCCAACAAATCTTTTAGTCCGTTCGCTGTAGATCAATGAGATGAATCATTCTTCCCCGTTGAAGCAGCTACTTCATGAATTTATGTCACATCTTTCACAGCTTCATCCCTTTCCCAATCACAGTTTTTTCTTCACCAATTTCCGATCACCATCATGTCACATCACCATGGTCCAAGTGATCACAACATGAAAACATACATAGGTTTGAACATGGGGACAATTGCCCACAATTGTGGACATTTTGAAAGGTTGGGGCACCTCATTTTCAGACAAAACCGTGCCACTTGGGGTTGTCTCAAAATTGGGAACTTGTCCAATAGACATGGCCAGGACGTTCGGTATCCCTGGAATCCCCCTACTTTCAGACGAACGAATTCCTTGACCCTGGAAATGGCAAACATATAGGTAATAGGGGGTAATCCGTTGAACAAAATGGGGGTCAATAGCCGCTTTTCTAGGAATATTCAGAATTTAGGTATCCTTGGACTCAGTGAACTTTGCTATTTCCAGTGTGAGGCTGAGTGCATTTCTGCCGTCCCATGCCCATGGAACGTTGATCGTCTATCCGTGACATTCTGTGACTGTCAAACACCCACATGTTCATACAGGATGGGCCCCCCCGTTGTGATGTGAATGTTGGTTTATGGGGGCCCATCGAAATATAGTTATAGTGCTATTATAGTTATAAATCAACCCCATTATTATATATACAGTGTTATAACCCCATTATTATAGTTATAGTGTTATTATAGTTATAAATTATAAAGCAACTTGGCTAACTACGGCGCCGCATCCTGGGCTGAATCCCCAAACCCAAAACAAATCCAAGCATCGAAGTTTTGGAAAATCCGAAGCATAGAATCCAGCAAGCTCCAAGTGGTCAACCAAGCGGATGAAAGTCCGAAACGTCTCTGTTTCATCTCCTGACGGAAAGGCATGGAGAGGCGACCTGCTGCGACCTTGCTGCAAGCCCTTAAGATCAATCCATAGCAACAACAAAACTCCCTATCTTTTAGCATCGTCCAGCATTAATTTGCATGGCCATTCATAGTATCCAGCTACAATCCAAGAACAGTACAGAATTAACTATTAACCACCATGAACTCCCCCTTCACCACTAAGTTGACCCCCGGCGCCTGACACCAACAAGAGTAGCGCCACCACGAAATTCATCCCCTGACAGTAGCCAATGTCTGGGTTGTAGCTGGCATAAGCTCTCAACACCTGGCGGACTCGAGGATTCGATATGCTTCGATGCTTGGAGAGTGGCTGGAAAAAAGGCGTCAGTGGATTTGAAGAACGAAATGATGTTGGCCCGTAAACTGGGCTACACCTCACAGTTATGGCCCTTTACCAGTTATAAGTACTTATAACCCCATTTATAGAATGTATAATCCCATTTATAACCAGTTGTAACTGATAAATGGCTATCACTGCAGCAATTCTACTTGAAACATGAAAAACAACTCAGATGGACTCACAAAGAACATCACAAGTGTCATCTGTCCCCTTTTGTCTCCATAATTCACAGCCTGTCTCCAACATAACTCACGCAAAACATATCATCTATGCTTCTCCCAGTCTAGAAAACACTGAAAGTTGGGTGCCAAACAGCTACCCTCGAGCAATCTAATCTGGTGTTTATGGTAATCAAAGATCCTGCATGTACATTGTACATTTACTTTCTTCTGTTCCCAGTTGAAGACATCGATTTTCCAATGCAAGGTGGAAAAAAACTTCCTTTCAATATATGATGATATCCCTCCCTGTAAAAAAAGAACATGGTACTCCCAAGTGCCTTAACAAAGTCTACACGGGCGACTTCCCAGTGTCTCATTGTGTCCCGCCTTCTCCAAGCTTTCGACTTCACCAGCAGATAAGCGTTCTCCTCCCAGGCTAGTCCTCAAGGCATCCTTGGGATCCCGGGATCCCATGATCCTGCGACTCTGGTTCTCCTCCTCCCAGTCCCCGTCAACTTAAGGGTCACAATGTCACAATCCCATAGGATCCATGGTGCTGCTATATATGCCAACATGACTGTGGTATATTGATGGGATCCATGTTACCATATATAGCAGCACCATGGATCCTATGGGAAAAGGAATCATCTTCCCAAATCAACTTTGAACTAAAAAACCACCAGCTGAGGTTCCGAATGAACACTAATGAACACTCCGCAAATCCTAGGATACCAAAGAATCAACAGCTGTCAATCCCAGTTGGTGTTGATCATTGTAAACTCCATAGTGCCTCTACAGTAGGAGAGTAAGTGGGTAAAAAAAAAAACGACTCAGCAAGCCACGGTTTATGGTGGACATATAACGTGACACATCTAGAGATGGATAAGTGAACGAAATATATTTACAACTGGGTGGCCGGACATTGTGGGTATAGTAAACATATCCAAAAATGGACTATGCCCCAGGGTTTAAAAATGGGAAACAATATGATATAATTATAATCCATTGAGAATTGGGGGTAGCCCGTTCTGAGACAAACCCATTTATTCTCATTGTCTTAAGAAAAAGGGGGAATGGTGTTTGCTAATTTAATGGTTGGCTAATAAGCCATTACTTACTATATTCCCATCAATTTCCCCTGAATTCTCCTAACAGCGATATAACCATGTTTCTGGGTAAATTGTGATAATTCACCAACCTGAATACTTCGGACATGTGGGGATGATTGCCCTATAAAAATCATGATTCCAGTGACAGTGAGATCGTGATGAACATCTCCCAGATGTATCCAACCATTATATATCCCATAATAATCCCAGAAACAAAAACACTATATTGTCCCATTGATCGCCATTAATCCTCAGTAATCACCACTAATCACCATTAACCATCCCCATATCATGATAATCAAAAACACAACTATTTGTTATAAGATGTTATGAGTATTTTCAATTCATTATAAACCATTATGAATAGTTTTAGTAACATAGTACTATAGTTATAGTTTAGTAAGTTTAGTTAACATTAGTTAACTAATCCAGTTGGTGGTTACCTATGAGTTATACTACCCTCTGGTAAACGTTTACATAACTATGGACAATCACCATTTTTTCATCAAGAAATCCACGATTTCTAAATGGGCCATGTTCAATAGCTATGTAACAACTTACCAGAGGCATTTCTATCATGAAAAATATCCATATGAAAACCCATTGCTCGGCTCGCCCCCTATGACTTCGCCAAGGCTCCACCTGGGCCGTCGTCGCATCCGCCGGTATCGCCACCGGGTCCCCCGGCAGCTCCGGCAGCGGGTCCCGTGGGTCCAGCGTCCAGGTCCACAGGGACCAGCGACGCGATGACGGGACGCCGGAGGCCACCAGCGTCCTGGTGTCGCGACTTGTCGCGTCGGTGATCGATGTTTGATGTTTGATGTTTTTCATAGCCCTTGGTATCCTAGAAATTTCCAGATGTTTGATGGTATATAAGCTATCCGGAATTAACAGTTATGGTATATCTTATAACCGAAGTATATTGACATAACTCTTAAGGAAAGGAACTGCAGTGAACGGAATCACTGGATTTTCTGAATCTTCATGGGATATTGGTCCCATATTGATGGGTGTAAGTTCGGATTGGCTAAGTTGGTTGTTTATAACTAAGTTAGCTACGTATATGGTGGTTACAAATATAGTTCAAGGGAGTTATGATGATCCAACGAACATAACTCGGGGGGCAACACCCTGCCGAGCTACACCCATCAAGTCATATCTGATATCCAGGCTCAAGCAATTGCAGTTTTATATACATTTACACATCATTACACATAAAATCATATATAGATATATTACGTATTATATGCAAACAGAGAACATATACACATCTTTCTGCAGCGTTACATATATATAAAGTATATTATTGTATGACATTATACACAAATTCATACAGACATATCAGCTTCACACAGTGTTCACATGAAAAAAAAAAGACCTCTCTCAACCCTTACCCGTGCCCTTCGCTGCCTGAGAGACGTCTCTGATAGCTGAGCCAAATCCACTCCGTCCCAGAGCTGCAGTCTGCGATCTTCGTCCAACACATCTGCAACGCTCGGCTGAAGGAACTGGGCACAGCCCTTTAAGCAGTCCATGGGCAGTGCAACAACAGCCACCATGGCGCCACATGGCCCGATAGCTTTGACGCATCACAAGAAATCTCTGGGATACCCTTGGATATCCTGCAGAATTTCCTTGGTGTGAAATTGGGTGTGTCTGACAAAATTGGGGATTCACATCCAATAAATAACTTAAAGAGAACATAATAAACATGAATAAACCATCAAATTTTGGTGGCATCATGGGGTGTCCTAGTTTGAAACAAACCCCAATCACATACCAAGTGGATTGCTCTATCCCGACACTATGCCGTCTACTCTCAGATTCGTGAAAGAATGGGACCTAAACCCACACGGGTTGGAGGAGGAACGCAATTCCATTTTTTTGGGGGGGGCATGGCGCTGAAATTGTTTTTTCCAATCTTCGCCAAGGCTCAAATGGCTTTGCAACTGTGGAGTGTTGCAATCTTTGCGCATGAGCTAGGAACATCTGCAAGAAGGTAGGTGGCATTAGGTCGCACACGTGGGAAACAAACACATCCAGTCAATCCAGTCCCATCAAAACAAACAAAAAAGTGTATGGCCACAATCCATGGAGAACATAAATCGAGAGGAATCCTTACCAAAATCAAATCAAGCGCGGCCCCCGGGGCTAAGTACAGTAGGGGCACACAACAAATGTGTGCTGGCAGCATTTTTCATAGCCAATAGATCCCATCCATTCCTGGTGGTCTTCCGTGAAGAGATTCCTCATCCCTCATCATCGTCTCTGGGTAAATCACATGTTTTAATGGACAAAATACAACTTTTAATTGGTAAATCAGGTAAATCAACTATTCTAAAACCCATTGAAGTTCCCAAGTTCCCAGGATCTTACTGGAAGTGACTACTTTGCCGTCGCCTTTTTCCCAACTGCCTAAGACAGCCGAGTTCTTGCAGGGCGATGTTTTGCCCTGGCGTTTCCGAGCGTCGCAGCATTTTGAATCCATTGAAAGACTTTCTGCAGTTATAGCCATGGCTATATTAGTTATAACTGGTTATAAATGGGATTATGCATTCTATAAATGGGGTTATAAGTACTTCTAACTGGTAAAGGGCCATAACTGTGTGGTTCAAAATGATTTGCTCCAAACAGTCAAAACACTCGGAACAACGCAAAAACATATTTGTGGCCCAGTGATACCGCAGCCGATTAATCTTGTCCCCCTAGGTCAACAAGAATAAAATACAAAAAAAAACTCGAGTCCCCAAATGGTCCAGCAATCTTGAACAATGGCTACGTTTTGGAGGTTTCAAAATTTCGGACGCACAGCATTTGTGCATTATCAGCCACCGATGGAGTCACCAATGGCTTGAAGAACCAGCACTGTCTGGGGGTCACCGTAAATCAAGTGATAAGAGGATACCAATGAAGCCACACATGAGAGTTTTTTCTTGGCACGAAACCATCATTCTTGGGTGTTCAAACTCAAAACGCCCTTTCATACAATGCCGTTATTTTTGTTCATGCCCAGTCATCTGTCATGGGCTCTGGAACTCGGTGTAACCATCATCGCAAGTCGTTTCAGTAAGTTGTATTCTGCCCTAAAGAATGGTCATGGTCTTCCATCAGCTAGTGACAATTGTACTTCATCGATTGGCTGTATATCATTATATATATATATACATTATTTATATATATATTATATAATATAATATAATATAATATAATATATATATAAATAAATGATCTCACAATTACCTCCTATAAACAAATTGGCGCTGAGCACCAATCTAGGTACCCCCCTGTTAACTATTTGTTATCCAAGGGTAAAATCATCTGTTCCCTTTCTTTCTGCAATTTTTACCCTTTTGCCATAGGAATGACATTGAATCTTCCTATCCTCCATGTTTTACCCCCCATGACTGGCACTATCGAGGTGTCACTCAGTCGACATCTGGCAGACGCCCATACACCGCGCGGTTGCAGTTGTACCTGGTCGACTCGTGGGTCGCGCGGTATCAACAGGGGGCACCAGCCTGTACTCAACCAAAGGTGCCCCTAAAGTATCATCTCCAACCAGTTACTTGTTGGATCTTTTTGGAAGTTTTTTGTAAGTCCATTTTTAGGGTTTGATGAAGCTTGATATCTCTGAAACATATCCTCCGGATCCTGGAACAAAAACTCTGAGATCAATGGACGAGTGGATATCAATTGTGGGTCCCATTAATGTCATGTCATTCAATATTCAGGGATTTACCAAAGCTACAAAATGCTGCCCATATTATGAAAAAGTCGCGACAAACGTTGGTAGACAGCTCACTATAGATTGACTACGGGGTTTATGATGAAATAACTATAGATCATTGGGGTAACAGAAACCAACAAACACAACCTTGCCTTGTATCCCACTACACACACATATACACACATATCTATATATATATATATTCCCCATGATTTTCAATTTTATCCCATCAAATCCCAGTAAACAGTACATCCCATCAAAATCCATCATAAACTCCTATTGGATAGCCATAAACTCACACGAAATCGTCACATGACCATTACAAATCCCCACCCCAGGCAGCCCTGTGGCCATCAGGTCCTCCCCAGCGCACCAAAAGGGTGGCGCCGCATGACGCTCGGCGATGGAGGGGCCACGCGCCTTAGTAAATTATGTATATAGAGTTAGTTAGATAGATAGATAGATAGATCGATCGATAGATAGATAGATAGATAGATGGATGGATAGATAGATTGATAGATTGATAGATTGATAGATTGATAGATTGCTAGATTGATAGATTGCTAGATTGCTAGATTGATAGATTGATAGATTGGTATGTAGGTAGGTAGGTAGGTAGGTAGGTAGGTAGATGGATAGATGGATAGATGGATAGATGGATCGATGGATCGATGGATCGATGGATCGATGGATCGATAGATAGATAGATAGATAGATAGATAGATAGATAGAAAGATAGATAGATAGATAAGATATGATAAGATAAGATAAGATAACATAAGGTTAGATTAGATTAGATTAGATGGATAGATAGATCAATCGATAGACAAATAAATATGTGATACGTAAAAAAAATACATAACTAAATGATATAAATTGATACATGATATATATATATAGATATAGATACATATATATATATAGATATAGATATCAAAAGACATATGATATAGACATATGATATGGTAAGATATGTTTATATTATTTTACAATAAGTAATTTTATTATACAATGATTACTTTTATTTATTATATATATACATCTATTGGTGAATACCGAATATTCTCAAATATTGTACATGTATGTATTAGAGTAGAATGACCATTGATTGAGTATGATAATATGATCAAAATCTGAGAGAAACTAATAAACATAAACAACAATCAATAAACAGAGAATCGGCTTCTAGAACTGGATAACTGTAAATGGGATGACTGAATATTCCTGCAGATGCAGGTTTTCAAAAATGGGGCTACCCCCAAATCCATTTCAACACGGTTTCCCATTATAAACCCTCCATTTTTATCCATTTTGGGGATCCCCCTATTTTAAGAAACTTCCGTATTCGTTCAGATCTTTTCTGATGATAATCCTCCATGGTGATTCTCGACAGCCTCAGTTCTGGACGCTGCGTGAGGTTGCTTTGCTGGTGCCTGAGTGGTCTTCACCTTGACCTAAAACAAAAATACCGTTGGTTCAGCTGGTGTGTACCTCTAAAAATGAGTCAACACACTCATGTTATACCACGTTTTATCATTTGGTTGTGAACAATGCCACCTGGTTTGAAGGTTAACGATCTAGGTGCGAGTAAAAGTGGGACCCGTGCGATATGTTTGGGAAAAGTGCAATTTTCTATGGGGAAATTGAACGTCCGGGTTGACATCCAGATTTAGCGAGGCTTCTGAGGTTGATGTGACACGTCCAAATTTTGACACGCTGGAAGAAAAAGAATAACATGAAAAACCATGGTTAATTTCGGACTTCGATGATATTTAACAGTCTAAATGTTTGGGCCCCAATTTCATGGACTCAATATGACTCAATACTAACACATCTAAGTTTTTATCCTTTTTGTTGCTAATATCCAATTATACCACCCCCAAAGTGCTGATATTATCACCACTTTTTCCCCACCTGCCAGGTGGGGGTTGTTAGATTTTATCAGAGCGCATGCCCGGCACTTCCTCCTCCTCCGCCTCCTCCTTCTCCTCCTCCTCCTCCTCGACTAGCTGTCCTCCTCGCCCTCCTCCTCGCCTCCGCCTCTTCCACCTCCACTTCCGCCTTGCCAACCTTGCCAACTCGTCGCCAAGCTCTTCGCCAACTTCCCAGCTCAGTGCGCACTGCTGGACCTCAACCGGGGACCTGCCCAGCTCAGTGTGCACCGCTGGACCTCAACCGGGGACCTTCCCAGCTCAGCGTGCACCGCTGGACCTCAACCTGGGACCTGCCCACCTCAGTGTGCACCGTGCACCGCTGGACCTCAACGGCCAGATAGAATGCCAGAAGATATGCCAGATGGAATGTCAGATAGAATGCCAGAAGATATGCCAGATAAAATGCCATGAGATATGCCAGATAGAATGCCAGAAGGTATGCCAGATAGAATGCCAGAAGATATGCCAGAACATATGCCAGAAGATATGCCAGATAGAATGCCAGATAGAATGCCAGAAGATATGTCAGAATATATGCCAGAAGATATGCCAGATAGAATGCCAGATAGAATGCCAGAACATATGTCAGAATATATGACAGAAGATATGCCAGATAGAATGCCAGATAGAATGCCAGAACATATGTCAGAATATATGACAGAAGATATGCCAGATAGAATGCCAGATAGGATGCCAGAAGATATGTCAGATAGAATGCCAGAAGATATGCCAGATAGAATGCCAGAAGATATGTCAGATAGAATGCCAGAAGATTTGCCAGTAAGGAAATCTATAAATGTCATGGTGGGAATCACACAAAGTAAAGTAATTGTTGGTAAAAGGTGGTGTCCACACCCAATTATAAGTCAGTTTGTAAACCCATCTAGTGGTAGTTAAAATCAACATACATGCTAGTTATATTGTTTATGAACCACCTTAGCAATTCTGAACTGGGGCACCCGAACTTGTGATCTGTGACGTTTGGGATGTCTGGTGAACGGCCTCCCTGTGCAGTGCAGTGACGTGGGTCCACCACAATTTTCCGAAGTCAATCGAGCAGTCATATAGCATATATTATAAATGTAAACATTATAGCAGTCATATAGCATACATTATAGCAGTCATATAGCAGTAATATAGCAGTAATATAGCATATATATAAATGGTTTGGGTTGGCCATTGTATCATTGTATTAAAACTTATTGAGATGTTTTCCTACATTTTGGATGTTCATTTTACATGTATGTTTATTTATATATATATATATATCAAATAGTTTTGGTTGATCTGACATGCTTTCATTCTTGTTCCTAGGTTTCCATTCCCGCCTCCTTCAAAAATATTTTTGAATCCCCAAGAACTACATAAGACACCGTCTCAGGGAGTGGGTTTACAAGACTAGGGATGTCTAGAGCGTACAATATATTGATGTATATTATTGGTGATCAATTGCGTTTAATGGGGTTTAACCTGCCAAAAACAGGGATATAGATGATAGTTTATATATGTTTTCCTCCAATGCCCTGTTTGTTGCTCGGATATCACTAAATTGACGTGTGATATACCTGCTGTTGTTGTTGTCGTTGTTCCTGTTCTTGTTTTTCTTGTTCTGGTCTGTGTTCTCGTTGTTCTTCTTATTGTTCTTGCTGTTGTGGTTGTTATTGTTGTTGTTCTTCTCGTTGCTGTCGTTGTTATTGGTTGTGGTTGTGGTTGTGGTTGTGGTTGTGGTTGTTGTTGTTGTTGTTGTTGTTGTTGTTGTTACTGTTTTTGTTGTTGTTGTTGTTGCTGCTGTTTTTGTTGTTGTTGTTGTTGCTGAGCGCTTACACATCGTTGAACTGGCTGTTTGGCGGTTCCAACCAATCCCCAAACAAAAACTAGAACAAATTGAGATCATCATTCTGCTTCGATGGACAGTCAAACATCATATTAAACGCCGACCTGTCAGCTACATCCCCATGTTTGTTGCCAAAGTCGCAGTTGATGTGTCACAGTTAAATACTAGCATCTATGAATACTGGGTGTTGTGCTTGGGACAGGGTAAGACAATGTCTTTGGAAGTAGTAGCTTTTGCATCACCGTATGTATGTGTGTATATATATATATGTGTGTGTGTGTCATTAAAAAAAAAATGTATATGTCTGTATATGTAGAAAAACATGGAAATTACAAAAACATGTGTATAATTCTGAATATATATGGTCCAGCGTCGGCCAGCCACCCCCCTCCTCCCCAATGGGGATGGGTGGCCAGTCTGGCTTCTTATGGTTCCCCCCCTCCCCCCTGTGGCCTGTGGTGGTGGGGTGTTTGGGATGCATGTAGGCATGTATGCATGTATGTAGGTAGGTAGGTAAGTAGGTATGTACGTATGTATGTACGTACGTACGTACGTATGCGTGCCTGTGTGTATGTGTGTATGTAATGTTTGTATGTCTGTCTGTGTATGTATCTATGTATACATGTGTGTATGTCTGTATGTATATAACAGTCCCCCTGCCCCCCTGAGCTGTGGTGGGTGCGTGGTACTGTCCCCACTACCCCCTGTGGTGTGGTGGGGGTGTGGTAATGTCGGGGGGGGTGGAACGCTGGAACACATATATATATATATATATGTGTGTGTGTACAAATGTATATATAAAAATATTAGTGTACATTTGTAAATATACAAATATATGTATATGTGTATATATATATGTATATGTCTTTTGTTTAACATTGTGTATATATAAATATGTGTAAATAGCGAAATATATAAATAGATTTATATATATATATGTGTGTGTGTGTGTTTGTTCATATACTTATGTACATATATATATATATGTGTATTTGTACATATATATATATATACACGTATAAATGAATATATATATATATATACGTATATATATATATATGTATCTCTCTATATATATATATATCTATATGTGTATATATATATATATATATATATCTATATGTGTATATATATATATATATAAATGCATGTATGTGTCATGTGTATCTATATGTATACATATATAATCTCTATCTACAAAAAACACATATATATATATATGTAATAAATAGGAAGTAGATACATGACATAGCACATGTACATATGACTATAGGTAGCACGTAAGTACTTTGAGGGAGTATCTGTGCTACGTAGGTCGTCTAAAAGGTAGCATGTACCTAGTAAATGTGAGGCTGGTAGTCAGAAATGCTGCAAAGGCCTAGCAAATACGAGGCTGGCTGGACCTCAGGAATGCTGCCAATAGCTTACGAATACAAGGGAAGGGGGTGCTACCTGGGGACGCATCCCATGGGGGGGGTGGAAACAGGGGACACGGGACCATATATATATATATACATATGATCTATTCTATAGTATTGTTGTATATAGCATTCGATCTTAAATATAAATACATATATATATATAATATTCTTGTAAATATTGAAATATATTTCAATATGTATGTATGTCTGTATGTCTGTGTGTCTGTGTGTCTGTGTATGTATGTATGTACGAATGTCTGTATGTCTGTATGTCTGTATGTCTGTATGTCTGTATGTCTGTATGTCTGTATGTCTGTATGTCTGTGTGTCTGTGTGTCTGTGTGTCTGTGTGTCTGTGTGTCTGTTTGTCTGTGTGTCTGTTTGTCTGTGTATGTATGTATGTATGTATGTATGTATGTAGGTAGGTAGGTAGGTATGTAGGTATGTAGTTATGTATGTATGTATGTATGTCTGTCTGTCTGTATGTATGTATGTATGTATGTATGTATATATGTATGTATGTATGTATGTATGTATGTATGTATGTATGTACATATATATATATATATACGTATATATCTATATATACGTATATATGTATATAATGCGGGTAAAATAATAATAAACCATCAACCATCCCCCAAATCACCATAAATAGCTTGTATAAACCATTCCCAAAGGGGTGGTTTACTATTCTTTTACCCACATTAGCACTTCTATTCTGGCATTTCACGTCTCCCACATCTGTCCCAATTCCACCAACTTCCGCCTGGATTCGCGCGCGCTGAGTGGAGCCGGTTTCTCCGGTTTCGAAACCGGACTCCGCGACCTCGAAGGGTGGAGGAAATCGACAACATGGTGGCCCAAAGCCACCAGATACATTTATGGCCATTGACAGTAACCAATAACTCCAATAACTATGGTTTATGGTACTTATAACTATAGTTAATGGGGTTTATATAACCCAAGTTATACCAGTTATAAGTACTAAGAAATTACCCCATCCCATAGGATCCATGGTGCTGGTATATATGCTAACATGACTGGGGTATATTGATGGGATCTATGTTACCATATATAGCATACATGGATCCTATGGGTTATGGGTTTATGGATGTTAGGCACGATGCACCATGGATGCCAAATTTCCAAGGCTAAATTGTTCCCTTCAAACAATTAAAGCTTGATGCAAGGCAGCAAGGACCTTCCTTTCATGCGACGAATAAACAAATTAAATTATATATGTTTATAATATGGCGATATATAACTGTAACCTTAGATATGTTGCCAGTAATTAACACTTACACATGAGTTTATAATGATATGTTTCACCTTAGTTTGAGGAGTTATAGTTCCATTTATACTTGTTAATGGTAATAAGTAATAACTGTAGAACTTAGGGAAATTTGGCAATCAATATTAATGAATCAACAAACAATGGGGGATGATGTTCAATCAGCAATAATGGGAAATGAGATATGGAATGGTATTTGATTTACCTACAAGTTGGTAGCCCACACTGTTATATTTGTTGATCTATATTCCATCTCAGAAACCAGATATTTCAGGAGATTTCATGAAATGTCATCACCCTTCCACTGAAAATCTGATGATAGACCAAGAGTTCCTCAACTTGGGCACCACCCAGGGTTACACCAAGACAATGGGATGAGGACCTTGGGAAACGACGATGGGAGTTTATGTGCATGGGAAAGCTATGGGTTTCTATAATGTTGGTGGGATGATTATTCCCAATATATGGAAAAATGAAAAATGTTCCAAACCATCAACCAGTGATGATCTATGATGTAAGTTGAACATGAAAGCCCAAATCTATGGATATCTATGGAATAGGGACTGGGTTTGATCATTGCCAGTCCGGATCTGGCCATAATGGCTTTCATTTTTGAATCAAGGGCGCCATCCCCAAAAACAATCCCCCCAAACTCCATCCTGCTTCAAAAAACATCCCCTCAGATTTGATCGTATACCAGGACGTCTGTGTCCTTTAGAAAATGATACTCTCAACCTTGTCCTGCTGTCCACTCGGATGTTTTGAATCCATCACTTCCATCACAAAGCCTCTGTGGTCCACAAAGGGGTCCGTCCGAAATTAGGAGCTCCACAAACGTAACACACGCCGTTAGGTGGTTGGCTACTTGGTACCTTTAGATTTTCATCATAGGAGGCTTCCATGCACTGACAATACTTTCATGTGAGGCTTGGATATGTTTGACACCACTAATGAGTTGCATAAGTCAGGTGGCAATTCCAAACAACCACAACAACCAAAAAAACAGCAAGAACAACAACAACAGCAACAACAACAAAAAGGCAACACATGGTGATTTAGTGAATCCACCATCAAAAAACTCACTTAGAAAAAAAAAACACACAATCAGCTCCCAAATAAATCTTCTTGAGGTGCCTTTGAGATCTAAGGGCTGACAAGTTGTTGAGATCCGAACGCTGCATCGTGATCACCTGGGAGCATCCACTGATGGTAGCTGTTTTTTGAAACCATATAGGAAATTCCGATCCAACATTTTAGCGGCGAAAAACAATTCAGCATGATACAATATATATATACAGTAGCAAGCATGCTGTTGATTTTCCCATGCGTGAGACTTCACTGTGTATCTTTTGCAAGTAAAACATGTCTTGACTATTTGTGGTCTGTGAATGTATTCATGCTCACTCTTTGAACAATTTTGCCCGCCCAAGTTTCCCTTCCTTCTTTGGTTGAAGTTGTTAGTTTGTTGCACAATTGAATCCGATCGCCCAGCAGACCGCTGAATGAAGATCATGTAGACTTTGTTTGCGCCTCCGTACAAATTTGGGGCCCCGGATTCCATTTTGGGGCCTGATTTGGGTCCAATTTTGGTCCTTGTTTTGGCAAAAGATACACAGTCAAGTCTCACGCATGGGAAAATCAACAGCATGCTTGCTACAGTATATACTGTCTCTTGTGTACTGTATCTTTTCGGGGTTCCTACAGCTATGGCACGCTATGGCACCCACTTGGGGGATCATTTACATTCATTTACCCAGTATCCCAGTGGGATTATCCACCACGAAGTCCAATATTATGTGTAGCGTAGAAAATCTGAACCCTACCGACAATAGAAAGCGACCGTGAATTTCGGGGCTTAAGTAGAGACAAAATTATAGCGTCTTCTGTTTGGATTTGTGTTTCCCCATGATGTTCCTTTCTTAATTTATTTGGGCCACGGCTATAGTGGAAAATGAAACAACTTGGAATGCCGCGGGCGTAAAGTTCGGAACAATTCTGCAGATGCACTCAACTAGACTCAAGTGCATGCGTAGTATGTTGTGTTGTTTTATATCTCAGATGCTCCATGTATGCTCTAAAGTTATGGCCCAAAATACCAGTTATAAGTACTAAGAAAACCCCATTTATAGAATGTATAATCCCATAGAAATAACCAGTTATAACTAATAAATGGCTATAACTATATTTACCGACATTTGGGTGATAAATGAGGAGCACATGTTGACACATATTCCAGCACCATGGATTGCGGCCAGGACTGGGGATCCAACATAGCTTGGTTTCCGAAAAAAAACGCGGGTGACATATGTTCCAGTCCTATCTGATCTATCTGATGATGTGACATACGTTCTATGGATATATACCTCATTGATAAATATATATATATATACACCTAATTGAACGCTTTTCCTACGCAGACTTCTGAACATCTCTCTGGCTTTGCAGGTGAGTTACTGACCTAAAGTCCAAGAATCTGAAAACAACATTTTTGAGGTATTCCACTGTTTGTTGCGTCCAGAAGTTCGATGGTCAAAATTCCCACCTCACAAATCACATCTTTTCACAGTGACCTGTTTTGTTCATGGTGAAATCATCATGTTTCCCAGCCAACTGGCCAAACGGCTACAAGGTGATGTCCCACTTTCAGTTGGTTTATGCTACCCCATCTAACAAAAAATGTAACCACCATAAACTCAAGTTATTTGCGTTTGATATACGCCAGCTTAGCTACTAAACTGGGACTCCACCTGGTACCCGTTGTTGGCTCCGGTCACCATTCCTGCCCACTGGCACCAGATGAAGTCTGCTGAGCGTAGCGCTCCTGTATTTGGATCCATGGCAATCGGGGGGACAAAATCAGTTGGGACATATCCTTCACAGTTATAGCCATTTATTAGTTATAACTGGTTATAAATGGGATTATACATTCTATAAATGGGGTTTATGGGGTTTTCTTAGTACTTACACCTGGTAAAGGGCCATAACTGCAGTTTCAATGAAGTTTAAAGGAAGGCACGACTTGAGCACATGCTACCGAAGCTGCTGCAGCCACTGTGATGGTGGTGGTTGTGGTGGTGGTGATGTCCCGGGAGGGAATGAGCCCCACCAAAAGTGCTTCCAACACAGCCGTGGGGTAGAAACATATTATGTTGTTGTTGGTAATTTCCGGAGCTGAAAAAAGGTTGGTGGTCAAGCTGGTTTGTGATCTCAATCCTGTTGAACACCGCCAAGCAGTGGCGCGGTGCCCCTTTCAGACAGCAAGAAGACAAAATCAGCATGCGAATATAGGCAAAATTATAGTTTTGACCATCTTTAATCCTTTTTTTAATATGACAGCAAATGCCTACTATATAAACATAATTACGACTGGATTGAAACAACGGTTGAACCGCGGCAAAGAATCTTATTAATGATAACCATCTCCGTAGCATTACTTGTGTACATGACCGGATAATCCGAACAACCAAAAATACTGCAATTTCAACTGCGGGATATACCCAGTGTGTCCAAAGCGGATAATCAAATCCATTCCATCCATGAATTTCAGGGATTGTCCTAGTCCAACTAATTAGTGTTGTCCGTGGTTCCATAAAAGACCAAGCCTGTAAAAAGACCATAGAGCCAAGAACAATCCATCCTAGATACACCCATGGGCTTTAACCCTTGCTAAGATCTCCGAGTGTCCGAGTGACCCACAAGACTTCAAACAAATATCAAATATAATAAACCAACCAAGATCTGGATCGGAATACTGATATTTGTGGTGTCCCCTCGTTCTAAGTTGGTTTTTATCCACATCACACAATAGTTCAATGACGTTGTAATCACCATAAACTCTAGCTAATCTACTTCAAAACCAACTTATAATTAGCTAAGTATGGAGCACCACCTTGCAGCATATAATATATAAATAGAAATGTATAACCAGATTCATCATCCCACCAGAGTGTGCCATTGTAGCTCGCCTGCTGGTGTAGCAAACTGCTGCTGCTAGGTGCTGTCTTGGTCAAGGCTACGCCTCAGGCGACGACTTGCCAAAATTTCCGACATTTTCAGAAATTGGGGAACAACATGGAACAAGCCTGAATTGTTGGCATCGAATTTGTCATATAAAATTGCTTAATTAGCATGTTTAACCTATACAAACATCATGTAGTTGACCTAATCCAATTGTTCGCAGTGGTAGCACGTCGAAATTCAAAACGCCACCGGGATCGATCATGAATTTTTCCTGATGATTTCTGCTGTCTCCTGACCTGAAAAACACCTAAAGCAACCAACAAAAAAACGACAAAACCACGGAAATTCACGAGAATTCTACAAATTTGAGTCATTGAATCATTGAAGTATGATTCATTTTTATTTTGTCTGTAAATCATTGTAAATCACCATACAAGGTGGTGCCGCAATAACTATAGTGATGTGTGTTGTTTTACACACCATCCGACTACTTGTACTGATTCCAACTTAGAAAAAATCACCATACTCCCTAGAGAAACATGAGTGAATTAAAGCAACTTAGCGATTCCAAACTGGGACACCACGTTGTAGATCTACTACAGGATAATAAAAAATGACTAACATCAGAAGTTCAGCCTATGTTGGCATAGTTACCCTGGGCCTAACCATATCTAGCAGTGAGGTCGATGTCATTTATCCAGATATGTCAATAGACTAAACCACTCTACTAAGACTTACATTTCATCAACATGAATCCAATATATACTTATAAACCCACAAATCGTGATTCCAAGCTTAGATACCATGTTGCACCCTATTTTTGTTTCTCCCAGTACCCATCACAACCACCATAAAACCATATCTGGTTGGTGGTTTTAACCATTTTGAAAAATATGAGTTCGTCAATGGGAAGGATGACATCCCATATATGAAATGGACAATAAAATTCATGTTTGAAACGACCAACCAGTACACCATTAATATCATTACCCTATATATATATATACACACCATATAGTACCATTAATCAATTGATCTATTACCATTAAGTCCCAATGATGGTATACATACCATATAATACACCCATTAATATACATTAATCATCAAACCACCCTTAAAATCCAACCATAGCCCCCAGTTCTCCTTAGGCGTCCCACTGTCGGCCCAAGCTCGAGCTTCTCGCAAGACCTCTGCGCGCACCGCGCAGTGCGCATCCCAGGTCAAACCGGATTTGCTGGGTACAACTCTGTGCTTTATTACAGTTATGGCCCAAGTTATACCAGTTATAAGTACTAAGAAAACCCCATTTATAGAATGTATAATCCCATTTATAACCAGTTATAACTAATAAATGGCTATAACTGTAGGTAATTAGGTAACCAGTCATTTTTGTTACGGTAAATCTACCATTTTCCCTGCTGAAAAGCCGACCATTTGGCACCGTCTATCGCAACGTCCCAAATAAAAAAAATATGGATGTACCGCTGACAAGTGGGGGCTTAACCAACAAACATGATGTTTCACTCCAACCACTGAACATATATTTGTCTCACCAACAAATAATAGATATTGTTGTTGCAATCAACAAAAGTGAGAAATTGACCACCGAGGATCTATAGGATTGATCCATTGACATATGGCTCAAAGTTAGGTTCCGAGTTTCGGAGTTCAACCATCAGTCCTTGCAACGCGGACGGACCTTTTCACACCACAGGCTTGAGTCAAAAGCCTTCGGTACACTTCTTGATTTGTGCGTGTCATCTCGACACCTGTGCTGCAGACATCGGCAGGGGTCCAAATGGGTTACAAAGTGTTATACCCCGCCTTTGGATTGCACGGTCAAGTGCTATCCAACTTTTCACCCTACCTTCGGTAGAAAGTTGTGGCTGCCAACATTTCGTGTAGCAGCTCTTTATGAATTCCCTCACTCAGTTTTCTGACTCTCCTCGGCTTGGTTTCGGCTGCTTGATCCTCTGGCGCTCCTGGATCTTGTGCTTTCTGGTCCATTGTCACTCCACAGGCCTTGATAGGCTATCTCAGCCCTGGCCTCTTCATCTGTCACCATTCCAATGGTCACCTCGCCCAGGTTAAAGGTCACGGTGTTGTCCACAAAGTCCTGGACTGCGCGAGGTGAAGCTCTTCCTTCGTTGAAACTATTCCACGCAAAACGTAGGACTTCCAATCTTCTCAGGTAGCCCTCGATCTTGCCTTGACGCTCAGCATTTGGCGATTTCTCTTGTTCGGCTCTCAGAAGGGTGAGCAACTTCTTGCTCGCCTTCACCATGTAGTTCCTTGGTGAATCCATTTCTCCCACTGGTTCTTCTGGACGTCCAGGGGAGAATGCTCCTTCTTCACTGCTTCCATTTCCAATCCCCAAGAAACAGTTTTCTGCTTGAGTAAACGCTCTTCTCTCACTCTCACTCATCTCCTCGAATGGATCCGGTGGTACAGGTCCTGGTAGTCGAACTGCCATTTGTCCACCTCCAAGATAAACTCGAGGTAGTCGAAGTCGTAGTCCTTCTTGGCCTTGTCGTTCAGCATCGATCTGCACCTCGTCCTCGTCATCCTCGCTGCTGTCAGTGCATCCATGAATGTCCATCCATAAGTCCTCATCGGAGACTTCCTCAAGGGTGCTGAACTCGTAGCGAACTCTCTTTTCTTCAATCGTCTCTTCTTCTGGTTCCGGCTCTTCTGTTCCTGGTTCCGGTTCTTCTCTCACACTCCTCACATGTAGCTCCTCAACGTCAGTCGCACTCCCCGTAGCCAGTGAGCCCAAGGCTGCAAAGAGAGCTGGTAGTAGGTCTCGACGAACTCGTTGAACTCGTTGTACTCCAACTTCTTCTCCACCAATTCGATCTTGAAAGCCCAACATGCCAAGCAAAAATTTCAACCTCTTCTGCCCATGACCCTTTGTTCCAAGGTCAGCTGGGTTTGCTTGTCCTGGTACAGGTTTCACTGAAAGAACTTTCTGCGCAACCTTGTCTTGAACCCATAGTAGTCCAGTAGCGATGTGCCTCGTTCGTTGAACTCCTTGCCGTTGAAGTAGAGCTCTTGCCGCCGCATTGTCCAGTCTCATCTCCAAAAAGACAGTGGTGTTCAACACCGCCTCCAGCAAGCGCTTGACATAGATCGCGCCGGCTGCCGCTGACACCGCCGCCACAAACTCCGACTCAGCACTGCTCAAAGCAATACTGCGCTGCGTCCGGGTCACCGCAAAGAAGTAGTTGTTGTTGAGGTAGAACACCGCGCAAGAACATGACCGTCTCGTCGATCGATCTCCAGCCCAATCAGCATCAGTGTAGACCTCCAACAGCGAAGGCCCATTGCACGCACTTGTAGTGACCTCCTCGCCGAAGTCCTTGTAGGCCATCTCCTTCATAGATGATGCCATAGAGCTCCTCAACCTCATGCGCTGAGCGTAGTCGGCCGTGTCCTTCAGGTAGAGCACAACTTGCTTTAGCTCCTTCCAGTCACCCTCGTCAGGGTTGGTCACTTTTGAAGCCAAAGCCCTTGTTGCGCACTGGATGTCTGGCCTCTCCGAAGCCATGTACAACAGGATGCCCACACAGGTTCTGAACACTCTGGCTTTCTCCGGGAAAAGGCTCTGGTACTCGTAGCCTTTCCTGAAACTCGAGGTTGTAGGCACAGCTTTGCTCTTGTTGTTCCCCAGGTTCAACTCTTCGACCAACTTGTGGATGTACTTGTCATTCAACTTGATCCACATATTGCCATCTCCATCGGTCACAAACTTCCTCTTGAGAAAGGTACACTGTCCATTCAGGTGAGGTCCACAGGGCCCTTCAACTTGTAACTTCCAGCCCTGGTCCTTGAAGTGCTGGAAAAGGTCGTTTACGTCCTTCTCCGTTCCCATCACTTGCAAGTCGTCCACATGTGTGGAAACCACAAGGGGCTTGTCGAACTTGTTCAGGATGGGCTTGTAGAACACAGAAGGGTTCGCTTTGTAGGTCAGCAAGCCAAAGTCCTTGATGACCAACGCCAGCAAATCATACCAACTCTTGCTTCCCACTCGTTGACCAGGTAGACACCGTCCAAGAATGTAGTGCACCCCAGAAGTCATAGTCACGTAGACCTTCTCGTCCTGCTCCACCATCAAGTAAGCGTCCTTAATGTCTGCAGAGTAGAGGTTGAGTTCTCCACCTGCAGATTGAACCACTGCTGCCCATAGCTTCGTTGACAACGCGTTGGATGCTGGACTGAACAGTCCTTCCAACTCTGGTTCCAAGAACTTGTAGTCACGCGCCACAAGTCGACTTCTCCGAAGCCATCGGCCATCTCGAAATCTCCAGTCCTTCACGTGCTTGGTGGTGAGCTTTCTGTAGGTCTCGTCAATCACGTTCTCCTTGTCCACGGCGATCAGAACTCCCATCTCCAACAGCCTTGAAATTTCGATCTCCTCAGCCTCGAAATCCAGCTCGTAGAGCTCCTCGTCGGTCAAGTTAGGCGGTCCATCATCTTCCGAACGGTCCCACTCAGAAAGGTCCAGGTTCTCCCAGTCACCCCACTTCGTAGGGTCAAGGATGTACTCCTCGTCCACCTCCACTTCATCTTCTCCAAGTTGAACTCGAGAGATGTTGCCCAAGTTGCCAGCAAACGTTGGCGAAGCTGACAATCTCGTAGGTGAAGAGGATGTAGGCGAAGTAGGCAAAGGAAGCATCGAAGTAGTAGGTGTTGTCCTTGAGCTTTTGTCTACAGGCTCCTTCGCATCCGCAAGACGTAGTGCTTTTGTAGTACCCAGTGTCTCCATAGTAGGCTCATCCACCGCCATACGCTTAAAAGGTAGCGGTGTCGAAGTTCCTTCCCGTGGATGCTTTTGCTGTGGTTCTCCTTGTGCTCCTTCTGGTCCTCTCTTGACTGCAAAAGGCTGTTGTCCTCCTTGAACTTCTGCTTCATCCTCGACGATCCCCGCCTGCGAGGCTTGTCCTTCAGCTTCGACTCCTTCAGCAGGTTGTTGCTGTAGTCCACCTGAGGCTTCACTAGGTGCTTCCTCAGAGCCATCTACCGCTTGTCCTTGACCTGCATCAAGGGCATCTGTTACTCGTTGTCGCGCATATAGCGCAATGGCTTGTGCTTCTTCATCTCCTCTGTAGTGCTCCATCACCTCTTCCATCATCGCAGCTCTTTCTCTCAACTGCTTCTTTCTTCCAGGTTTTGGTCCAGGGGTTTCACGCTCTTCCCAAGGTAGTCCACGAACAACTGCAAGTAGGTCTGCTTGCCATTGTTGAGCACATCGTCGAACTCCTCGGGTGAGAAATAGTCCTCGTACTCCACAGACGATTGACAAGTCACAGTCAGGAAGTTTTCCAACAAAGACTCCTTTCTCCCAGTTTGGGGTTCCCTTTCGTTGTTGAGGTTTGTGAGGTAGAGGTTGACCATAGACTGCAGTGCCAAACTCTGTGAGTCGTCCTCGGTAGGGCCGATCTGCTGCAACTTCAAAAGGGGTCTGCTTGCTCCCATCGTTAACGTGGAAGCGGTTGTAGAGCCAAGCCGCATGGTTGTAGGCCCAAACCCTCAGCAAGTGGTCACCTCCAAGTTGTTGACCAGTCCCTTTGCTGACACTCTCCAGCAAAGTGTTACCAAGTCTCCTTGTTGTCTGAATGGCACGCTCTGCTGGGTTGGACTGGTGATGTCCAGGTGGTGCATACTCCACCTTCGTCTTCTGCTTCAAAGCAGTCCTGGTTGCTTGGACCGCTTCGATCAACTGCTTCATGGCGGGTTCACCATCTCCTTTGAGAATCACATCCTCATAGTCCCGGGCAAAGGCAGTCACAGCAGTAACACATCTCTTCAAGCTAAGTCCACCTTTCCCAGGAATCGGCACGCAAAGGATAGCTTTTGTCCAACTGTCCACACCCACCAAGTGCTTCAGCATCTCACTCTCATGTTGGTGACCAGCACGAGTGCTGGTGAACATGTAGTCCAGGGCTATCGAAGGAACTGGTGCTTCCCGACGTTCATGTCGCTCACTGTCTCTGCTCCTTGTAGCCACACATTCTTCACACCAACTTTCGAAGGGTAGGTGAGTGAGTCGATGGCGTGCTCGAGTTTCTTCATCTGGCAGCTCTGGTACAGCAGGTCCAGCTTCAGGTTCTCGTCGGTCTTGTTGCTGCTGTTGGTGAGCAACTTCAACTGCCAATCGAGCATGACCTCTTTGGCAGTACTCCTGAAGTCTGGCAAATATGGTTTTCTTTCCACCACTCTTCCCCAAACCTAGGAAGACACACGCTTCTCTCATGACCTTCAAGGTGCTGGTCTGCTCAATCCTCTTACCGTTGACGATGACATGGCCATCACCCACTTGGTCAGCCATAGCCCCATCTGGTCCTTGAACTTCAGCTCCATCGTCGGCCATAGCATCTTCGGGTGGTGGTCCTTCAGGTAGTAAATCTCCTCCTTGTGCAGCTTCAGCTTGCATCTGAACATCTTCAAGAGGAGATAGTCCAGCGTGAGGTTGTTCTTCAAGAGGTAGGAAATCCCCAGCTCCTTGAGGTTGAACAGCATTCTGGTGAAAGATCGCAATGATCCTTGTAGGCACCTTCACTTCAGGGATTGGCCCTGTTTTCCACTGGTCCTTGTGCTCCTCATACTCTACACAATGCCATTGGTCATCCTCCAGCTTCACCAGCGTAGTCCTGTAGGGGTAGTTGTCCATGACAAACTGCACAGTAGGTTCCTGAAACGTAGAGCCACGCTTCAGGATGTAGACGGGTGTCCCATCTTCCATCACCCAAGATCCTCTCTCCTTGGCCAACTCCTCCAACTCAGTGCCCAGCTCGACCACGAAGTTCACCTCCAAGACCTTGGTCGCAAAGGTGAACGCCAAAGAGTTTCCCTTCCACACCAAAGGGATCCTGCGTAGACCAATTGCCAAGTAGTGAGCTTGTCCTTGTTCTTCTCGACGTTGAATCATCCAACCTTTCTTCAGCCATTTCCCAACTGCTACCAACGGCTGCTTCACATTGGCCAGCACAAACGTCTCTTTTAAGCTGATCACCTCTCCATCTTCAGTCTCCACAAGCATCGTCAAGTAGACTCTGCCATAGTTCTTGATCAAATTGCCCTGCGCGTCGCGCAACAAGGCCTGGTATCTATCGTTGGTCGCTTCTGCAAACTTGCCAAACTTCAATGGCAAAACTGAGACATCAGCTCCAAGGTCCAAAATGGCTTGGAACTCCACAGACTTGGCCTGCTCTTCAGGGACGTTGTCCTCGACAATGGCAAAGACGTTGTACTCCTCAATCAACTCGTTCAAAGGGCTGTCCTCACCAGCCACATCATCATCATCCTCCTCGGCCAAGTCGTAGATGTCACAGGGAACCATCCCTGGAGGTGTCACCAACTTCTTGATGGCACACGTCACACGCCGCACCATCCCAGGAGTCCTCAAGGTAGTACTTGGAGACGTAGAGGTCGTAGAGGTCGATGAAGACACTGAAGGTGAGCTATGCTCTTCCTCAACCATTCTGACCTTCTTGTCGTTGTCCCAGCAATCCTTGGCCAAATGGCCAGTTCTTTTGCACACGTAACACTCCCTGGTCTCCTTTTGCTGCTTGCCTTTTCCTTCTCCTTTCTCACCCTTTCCTTTCGACTTGCCTTTGCTTGAGCCTGGCTGGCTCGACTTCCCTTTTCCTTTTGACTTCGGAGGCCCTTTTCTGTCCTTTCCTTTTCCTTTTCCTTTTGGCTTCTCTTTTCCTTTTCCTTTCTGAGTTCCTTTCCACTGAACCCTGTCCACGTCCATGGGGTCGTCCTGGTTGGCAAACTCCTGAGCTTGCTTCAAAACCTTCTCCGTAGTCCATGCCGATCTCGTCTGCTCGAAGTCGGTAAGGGCTTGTCGGATCGTTGCGTAGTCCGTCTCCTTGGTGAGGGTGAGCTCCAAGTGCTGTCGTAGAACCTGAGGGCAGCACCTGATCAACGTAGCCACCTTCAAGTCGTTGTTCAACTTCTCCTCACTGAACCGCTCATAGTCCTCCACTAACTTCTCCAGCACCAGCAGCCCTTCCAAGCTCTTGCCCTTCTCGAAGGCAGGAAACTGAGTGATTGCCTGCAGCATGCAAAGGGTCCTCTGCCGTGTCTTTGGTTGAAACTCCCGGCAAAGGTGTTGCCAAGCCTTGTAGCCGTCGCTCGTGGTCACCGCCCTGACAATCCTGAGCGGTCTTCCCTTCACGTAGGACACCAAGTAGCTGTAGAGTCTCCGCGCTCTCACTCGGTAGTCCTCGCCGTAGTCCTCAAGCTTCAACTCTTTCTTGAGGTCGTTCTCCACGAGGTCAAGGTCCTGCTCATAGTCCGCGTCCAACATTCCCATGAATGTTTTGAAAAGGAATGACCACTCTGGCCACCCATTCATCTCATCATCGTGGTCCTTCGGTCTCCACACTTCAGGCTTCTGAAGTGTCCTTGCATCTATCGTTTCCAGGGTCCCACCTGGCTTCTTTTCGGACAGCCGTGTCACCGCTTGCGTGGTGGCATTGGCAAATCCCCTCATCTCCTGGAGGAAGGCTTCCATGTTGGCCATCTCGAAGCGCGGGATCAACTCCTGGCGCTCCACTCACGGCAAAGTGCGGGACTCGTCCTGGCACCCACCGCAAAGCCCTATCTCCTTCACGAGGTTCTCGTTGCAAGGCCCGACCTTCTTCGCAAAGTCCTCACTTGCAAGGCCCGACCGTCTCCACGAAGGCCACGTTTGCTCCAACTGCCCGGTCACACCAGGCTCCGCGCTACCATGCAACGCGGACGGACCTTTTCACACCACAGGCTTGAGTCAAAAGCCTTCGGTACACTTCTTGATTTGTGCGTGTCATCTCGACACCTGTGCTGCAGACATCGGCAGGGGTCCAAATGGGTTACAAAGTGTTATAGTCCTCATCATTTGGAAGGTTCTGTCAAAGCAACTTCGTGATAAATCCCACAGGAACATACAAGAGAGAAGGAGGGCAGAAAAAAACACACATCATCTATATATATATATAAAAACATTTATAAACTGTCCCATCTGTCCCTGATTGGAGGCCTGTGATTGGGTTTACCATCTTGAAACATCAAACGCTGGGTCGTCTTGAGGTCCACACACTGTTGGCCTGCATCTGTTTCAAGCTGTTGTGGGTCATCAGGGCCTACGGTGACACAGGAGCTTGCCATGAACGTCCTGCAATGTCAATGTACAGTGTGGGGCCCGTTTACGAAATCGCTAAGTTGGTGAACAATTCCAATAACTATATGGTCTATGAATGTTTATGATACTTATAACATCTTATAACTAGACTTAATGGGGTTATACACCATTCTAACTGGGGGGGCCCACATTGTTGATATTCTGTGCAGGAAGTGCAAAGGGTGGCAAACGGCCAACAGTCCACCTTAAGTCCACCATCAGTGCTGTTTGTCGACCACAACCGAGCAGCTTTTGGATCAAAGCTCCTACCATCTGGTTATTTACCAGTTTGCTATGCTCACCTCACAAAACTCATGAGTCAATTTCGGTCCTGATGTGTGTTACAGTACACAATTAAACATTAACACAATATATATATATATATATATATATATATATTATATTATATATTACAATGTCTCCAAGTGTGGCCAACATATTATCCAAGGATATGCACAGGCGCTAAAATCCACCTTAACTTGTGCACTAATTAATTCTCTTATATACCAAAAAGATTCAAAAAAATGTTTCCACTCACCAACCAACAATGGCAGACTACCGACAAAGCATTGCAGATATGGTATCAAAGTCATTCAGCACTTGATGTGATACCCAAGTTCGGTCTTCAACATATATCACACTCCAGTTGCTGTGTCAGCCACCATTAGTTGGACTCAGAAAACAAAAGACAACCAAATACAGTAACTTACTTTGAACTTAGCGTCTGTAAACAAAGTTGTGAATCGCATTGAATAAAATGTGCTATAAGAACAAAACTCCATGCGGATACGAGGTTGATGCACAGATCATTTCAGCTATCAAGCGTTCGAACCATTTGCGACGGACGGCAAGCATGGAGCTGCCAACAACTACAAATAACTAGCCGATACTCATCGATACTCTCTGCTTTGTATTTGCTGTCGATCAAATTCACGCTGAGAATTCATCAACTTCAGCCATAGAAACCACAGCCTGCACTGCATACCTGCACCATACCCAGCATACCCAGCATACCCGGCACCTGTTTGAGTTCGGCGTTCTTGGCGAACCACTCCTTGTTCTCCACGCGTTGCCCCAGTAGTGGACTCGCAGGGGCGAGACCAAAAGATCGTGGACAAAAAAAGTTGTCACACACAAAATGGGTTACCCTCTGGTAAACTAACATAGCTATTGAAAATCACCATTTTTAATGGGAAAATCCACTATAAATGGCCATTTTCAATAGCTATGTTAGTTTACCAGAGGGTAACAAAATTGGTTTGTGGTAGACATCCATAGGAATCTATATATAATCTGTAGGAAATCTATTGAAATGGGTAAAGCAATTCTATAAATAATTGGGATTTAATGATGAGTTAACCCTTGATCAAACTTGGCAATGGGAAAGTCATCGAAGTAATGATGAATTTTCCATTGCCTTTTTGGATTACGATGGGGTAAAGGATCCAAAACATTCCAAAACAACACATGCCAAAATTCAAGGTTCGACCAGCCAAACCTTAGCGGGTTTTCTTGCTGGAATTTCATCCTGTCCAAAGCTATAAGAAGGTGAACATAGGTGAACCCTGCTTGGATGATTCCCTTAGAATGTAAACACATCTGGGTAAATTATAATATTTCACTATCCTGAATTGTTGGGCCATTTGGGGATAATTTCCAATACTAACCATGATTTCCAGTGAGGGAGGACAGTGAGGTCGTTATAATTTACCTAGACACATGGTTTCTAGCTGGCCCAAATCAATATCTCATTTGATGAACTTGAGACCCATTGGGCCCATCTTAGAGATTCCCATGCTGTCCTCTGCAAGTGCCCGCCGCAGCCACAGCGTGAGGACGACGCACCTGGACGATGCGTTGGTTTTGTTCCCTCATATTCAACAGGGGTTTGAGCTCCAATGGATGACAGAACATGGAGTACCCTCTGGTAAACTAAAATAACTATGGAAAATCACAAATTTTAATGGGAAAACTCACAATAAATATACATTTTCAATAGCTATGTTAGTTTACCAGAGGGTACAGCCCCAAATTCATTGCTACACTTTTGGTCACCTGAACATCGCTGAAAGTTACGGCCATGTGGTGATGATGTTCTGCAATCTAATTATCATTCCAGTATATTCCAGGGACATCACGGTGAGGTCATTATAATACATCCCTGGATCCCCGGTTGGTGGTTGACCTACCCCTCTGAAAAATGATGGAGTTCGTCAATTGGGATGATGACATTCCCAATATATGGACAAATATAATTCATGTTCCAAACCACCAACCAGATGAAGATTGATAGCCCCGGATCATTGCAGTTTAAAGGAGAAAATGATGGTTCACCATCGGAGTTGATTTATGGGAGCCACAATGTTGTATAAGCAACAAAGAATGGCTATATCATTTGGATATTCAATGAGGTATTTAGTCGGATAATCATGGGATATTCGTATATAACTACTGCAGTATAAACAAGCTTGTTGGCAAAGTTGGTCAGCACTTCAACGATATGTCATTGTTGCTATAGGCATGCATAGACCAACCACGACAACTATATGGGTCACCTCCTTTTCCCATGGGCCTTGAGCTTGGCGTATCCTACATGCTGATTCTGGGAGTATCGTTTAACTATGACCATACATGGATTCTCTTGGGACAACATCAATGAGCTTGACAGGCAATGAATCCAGAGAGAATGACTGGTTGGTGGTTTCAACCCCTCTGAAAAATAACAATGGGAAGGATTATCCCATATATTATGGAAAAAGAAACATGTTTGAAACCACCAGCCAGATGAAAGTATATAATGTATGTATGAAAAAACAAAGCGCTGCGGTTTTGTGGCTGGTTTTCCGGCCCAGGGTTCACTCGAGTATGCCCTTGTCGTCTATGTGTCCTGTCCCGGTCAGTGAAATGTCACACCCTTCGAGGCACATTTGTCGGCAAGGTTTGTCGTGCAAAATGCATTGTAAGAGTTCCAACTCAAAGCCTGGAAACGACGCATATATAAAGAACAACCACCTCTTGAGAGATTTTAGTCCTTGTCCATAGATATGGATATGTGATATGTGATATGTGATACCAACAGTTGGTCTTCATTTCCGACTCAGTTTCTGAAACCTGCGGAGGAAGAAATCCCATGAGTATCATGAAACATGTTCATTGACTTTACTCCTCAAAAAATGCCTATGAACCACATTTCCCTGTAGCCACGCACTCATCTGCCCAGGCTTTGAAGGCCAGATAGCAAACCGAACGGTCATCCGAGTATCCGAGAACTGGTGATGCAAAGCGACAACCGGAACTATCCAGATTTCAATTTCAAAATATGAACAAACTCCGGATTTGAAAACACAAACTTACGAGTACTGCTTGGTCAAAGCCATACTTTCCTGCCGTTCATAGATGTTCATAGATATCCCGTGGAATTTTTGCTAAAGAATTGGAATGTTTCATGCTTTCCTATATAGATTTCCTATACAAATTTTAATCCATCCGATATATATATATATGAGAGAGAGAGAGAGAGATTTCATAGATGTTTCACAGATTTTCCATCCGAAAACCCAACGACTTCCCACTCCGCTTCCCACTCCGAAAACCGGGTCTGCGGCACCCATGGGCGGCATTGGAGGGCGGCACCTCAGATCCGATGTTCGCAGATCACGGATGACCATGGGGTTTCTGGGATACTTCCAACATATGATATCTATCTATTTCTATTTCTCTATATATATCTATATATATATATACTGTGTGTGTGGGTGTAGTGAGATAAAGATCGAGACATAGATAGAGATATTAGGGATAGATATAGGGATAGGAATAGGGATAGAGATAGATAGATTAGATTAGATTAGATTTAGATTTAGATTTAGATTAGATTAGATTTAGATTTAGATTTAGATTTAGATAAGATACGATTAGATAAGATTAGATAAGATTAGATAAGATATAAGATCAGATAGAAGAGATAGATAAGAAAGAAAGAAAGCAAGAAAGAAGGAAAGAAAGAACGAAAAAAACACATAAAGAAAGACATAAAAAAAGAAAGAAACAAAGAAAGAAACAAAGAAAGAAATAAAGAAAGAAACAAAAGATAGATAGATAGGTAGATAGATAGTTAGATTGTAAGATAGATAGAAAGATAAGGTAGATAGATAGATAAATAGATAGATAGATAGATAGATAGATAGAAAAATAGATAGATAGATAGGTAGATAGGTAGATAGGTAGATAGGTAGATAGATAGATAGATCGATAGATCGATAGATCGATAGATCGATAGATCGATAGATCGATAGATCGATAGATCGATCGATCGATAGATCGATAGATCGATAGATCGATAGATCGATAGATCGATAGATCGATAGATCGATAGATCGATAGATCGATAGATCGATAGATCGATAGATAGATAGACAGATAGATAGATAGATAAATAGATAGAGATAGATGAATGAATAGTTGAATAGGTGGATATCCCAGGACGTGCTCCTTTTTTCAAACCATCCACCAAACCTCTCAGCGTTTCTGAGTGTTCCGACACCAACGGCGTGGGTTTCTTCTTCACCACCTCTGGATCTGGTCGTTCCAGCCACACCACCTGCAGCCCCAAGGTGAGACATGATTATGACCTGGTACCCTCTGGTTATGTAACAGTTTCCTATGGTTAATAGAGGTTAATGGAGATTAATGATAACTAATGATAATCAATGAATAATGGCTTTCCTATGTGAGGCATTACATTAGAAGTGGTTAATAACGGCAATCATAGAATATTTTTGAGGGAATGTATACAAAAAATGGTGATGTTCCATTAGCTAAGTTGAAATATCAGAGATGGTATGTTATTGGAATAGATGTGCATGATCTGTTCCTCGGTTTGTCTTTATTTAATGGAATCCCTTGGTTTCTTATGAAGGATGCCGGCATATCATTCACCATTTACTTTGGGAATTCGCTGTGCTCAAATGCCATCCCCAAACCAATGGCTACATGTTTACAGCTTCAAACAATGGCTACAAACACCGTTGTCCCCGCAATTTCTTGCCAACACAACAATGAGTTCGTAGTCGTTCTCACCGCCCCAAAGTTACCTGGTTATTGGTGGTTTGAATCATTTTGAAAAATGATAGAGTTCGTCAATGGGAAGGATGACATCCCATGTATGAAATGGAAAATAAACTTAATGTTTGAAACCACCAACCAGTACACCATTCATATCATTACCCTCTATATATATATAAGTATATACACCATATAGTACCATTAATCAATTGATCTATTACCATTAAGTCCCAATGATGGTATACATACCATATAATACACCCATTAATATACATTAACCATCAAACCACCCTTTTTTCTGATCCCCTTACGATTCCACCGCCACAGCTGTCGCTGTCGAAAAGTTCCGCAGAAGCTGGAAATCAGGGGACAAACCATACCACCTTGAAATAGGTAGGTATTTCTTGTTGGGCTTATCTATAATCAATGGGAGATCTTCAGGATCCAATACATGGAGGTACTGTACTGGCCATATTTTGTTGGGATATTCCCTGAAATTAAGGCCTTATATATGGTAGGTACCTCTAATAAATCGGTTCCTGTTGCATGGCCATTGATAGTTAGCTAAGTTGGTTTATAAGTCCAATATCTAGGGTTGATTCGGGGGTGATATCTATAGTTAATGGGGATTATAAACCAACAAAACCGGGTTATATCTGAATCGTCTTCCCCTGCGACTTCCAGCCCTTCCACAACTCGGCGCAACGCTGGAAGGCACCGGGATGTTCTGCGGCAGTTGGCAGAAGGTCCTTCCTTGCCAATCGATTGGTAAAACCTTGGTGAGAACGCAGATATCCGGGGAGAACCATTTTGGGGCCCAAAAATCAGAAGACAGGGATTTTACTTAACCAACACAAAATCATCATTTTTTTACGGGTAAATCAACTATGGGGTTAATTTTTGTGGGTTTATAACATGTTATACCCTCTGGTAAACGTTTACAAAGCTATTGAAAATGGCCCAGTCGAAATAGTGGATGTTGCCAGCTTTAACATGGTGGATCTTTCCATAGTTATGTAAACGTTTACCAGAGGGTAACCAACACAATTGACAAGTGGAGAACCATATTTGATCCAATTGACCAAGTTGATTTTGAACCTATATAACTAGGGTTTATGAAGATTGTGACTTTGGTTAAATGGGTTAACAAAAAACAACTTTTAAGTCGGGGGCACCACCTTGTAAGAATGTGGACCCCCGAGTTATGTTTGTCTGTTTACAAACAATTGAATATCTTCACGAAAACACATCCATCAATTATAAATGGAGATGAATTTGTCTATATGTTACCAAACCAGTCCATTGATATATCCGTCAGTCCTTGTTGTTGCGATGTGAGGCTTGCAAGCGATAGGTAAGTTGGCCATTGGACTAGGATGTATGGTTGATATATTTACATATGATTGGTGTCATGGGTGAACATGAAATGTCATGGGTGAACATGAAATTTGTAATGTTCAACTAAACGGGTCCAGGTTGTGGGTCTACCAAATGAGGAAGGGCCCAAAAAAACCTTAGACTTAGACCTTTCAAAAAAGGAACACAATGGTCAATATGTTGGGATGTGAATATAAACCCAGTTCCAGCGTTAATGCCACAACCCCCTCAGTACATGAACTCCACGGGCCCTAACTTTGCAGCGTAATATTTTTAAACATACATGCTACCCTCCTTGGAAATCTGACGCACAAACTGCGACTTGATCCTGGAATCACATGAATTTCATCCCCCAAATGGCTATGTGTCGAATCTGACAAGTTCGTCCATGTGGGGATGAATCCCTGCAATCACAGTGAGTTTTCGACACAGAATTTGTCAACCCAAATTGCAGAAGCTTTGGTCCAAGACGTGCCCCATAGTTGTTTCTGGACCCCAAATTCCCACATATCCAAATTCGCCTGGTGGCTTTGGCTGAACATAGGCTACCTCAAATCTTCCCATGGTCTATCAGCTGTTAGTAAAGCAATATCCCGAATTTTACCGATTTTGGTAGATGGCATTCCAACCATCAATCCAGATTGGTGGTGAAGGACATTGCTTTACTAGCATGAACCCAGACATTTAGAGTTCATATTTTTTTTTCTCTGGTTGGTGGTTGACCTACCCCTCTGAAAAATGATGGAGTTCGTGAGTTGGGATGATTATTCCATTCCCAATTGAATGGGAAAGGCAATCCAAATTCCATGGTTCCAGTCACCACCAACCAGATATCTCATTAACCATTACTAAACATTATTAACCATCATTAACCACCATTAACCATCATTAACCATCATTACCCCATACTAAATGCAGATCTTTTTTTCTTGTCAGAACAAGCATTTGGGGACCAACAATGGGGCCCAAAAAAACCATGGAGCCAGGTGGCCGCCGCCAGCCCTGGTGGTACATCCTCTGGTAGTGACCTGAGAGCAGTGTCAACGTTCACCGTCGTTTTCCACAGTTATGGCCCTTTACCAGTTATAAGTACTTATTATCCCATTTATAGAATGTATAATCCCATTTATAACCAGTTATAACTAATAAATGGCTATAACTGCACTAAATGTTCATCCATTTTCAAGTTTTGAGGACAATATCCTAGTATTAAACAATACCTCCCATGAAATACCCATTCAACAATACCCTAGCTATTGAAAATACCCACTCACCTTCTTAATTTTTCAATACCTACCATGAAATACCCTACTATCAAACACCTTATGTGACAATCCCTGAAATGTGCTCCTATTTGAAGGCAGTTGCGCGCAAAAGCTCGAATCTCTTGTGCATGAAGGCGATAAACGTTGCTTGGCACTGAGCTTCGGGTCAGCAGTGCAGTGACGAGCTGTTTGCGACTGGGGCCAGCAGGTATGCAGAAGCTGACCTGCTGACAATGCCAGGTAGCCCCCAGGCCTTCTCAAAAAGGGCCGCTCATGGTTGCTTGCACTTCTGCGATAGACTTTGCTCCGGAGATGATGCGTTGAAGAAGTTCGGGCATTTTTTGAGAGCTCTCGCCGGAAGGCCAACGAAATAAGAGCCCTGCTCTTGCACCAAGCCTGATAAACCAGAGATACAATGCTCTTTCGGGAGACTTTCAAATGTCCACGCAGCTTCGACACCGAAAGCTGGCTGCGTGTCTACCAATAGAGACTGAGCTGGATGTGGCCAGCATAGGTTGTAGAATTCAAGACCAGCTTGGCCAAGCTTTTCTTCCTGTTCCAAAGATTTCAGCAGATCAGAATGACCAGCGAACTTCTTCAAGTCTTTGATCTCTATGTCTGGAGTCGAGTTCGCCTCTGCCAAGGTTGTGTTGATAAGGTCTCGGCCATCTCTTGAAAAGACTTTCTGTAATCGGCCGATCTGTGTGGGACTGAAGAGTTCTTTGACTAACCTCCTTGAAGTAAGTTTGCCCAGATAATCTTTGAGCACCCAGATTCAGCAAGAGAAGCGTCAGCTCTCCGCAATTCATCCAATAGAGCACTTCCCTCATCTGCGAAACAGCTTCGCCAAAACCTTTACTGATGTCAAAAACCTTCTTCGTCTCATAGGAAAGTGTCTTTTCTGAAACTTCTTTAAGATCTTTAAGCAGCCCACTCAGTCTGTAGCGTTCCGTTTCCGGAGATGGGAAAAAGGGACACAGTTATGACCTTTAACAATTAGACATGGGATGATAACCTCCTGCAACTGAGGTTATATATATATACTGATAAATACATATATATAACTATATAATTATATGATTACAAATATATATAATTATATCTATATATATATATATTATATTACTATGTCAATGACTTGTCTTTCGTCAGTTGCTCTTGTTTTTTCCTGCAGAGATTTTTTTCAGACTTTGGGTCCAACAACTCGCCGCAAAAAAGCGGTGAAGATGTTGTGACTGGCAAAAACGCCTGGAGGTCATTACCCTCCGGTAAACATACAAAAAAACGATGGAAAATCACCATCTTTAATAGGTAAATCAACTATTTCTATGTGTCATTTTTAATAGCTATGATAAATTACCAGAGGGTATATCTTGCCATCTGATTTCTGAAAAATGTGATAACACACACTAGACAAGAATGGATCATTATATGATCCGTCAGGAACTGAATCCTGAAACATGCAAACCAGCCTAGATTATCAGTGCAGCAAATTGTATAATATTGTTGTTGGGGTTCTAAGCTTGGCCCCTTGCTATGTCGGAGAAAGCAGGTACGTGGAGTTGATCAGACTCCATATCCTAGTCAACTGCATGGAGCTTCGTTGGCGACAGCCATGCAGCGACCCTGTCGCCCCCTGCATTAAATTAATTTAGATTTAGAAAGGGAGAGGACAAAGGAAGAAAAAGAGAGAGAAGAAGTTTTACATCTATTCAGATGTTACACACACACACACCCGGCCGGAGCCGGGTCAACCCTGAAAGGCAAGAGGAAGAAAAAAGCGGACACACGACGGGCAAACGGCCAAAAACAGCGCAGGGGGGGGAGGGGAACAGACGGACCTCCGGAACCAACCTACACGGCGAAACGGACCTAACAAAAACAGCGCACACACCTAAACCCCACGACACATTACGGAGAGGCACGCGGGGAGAATTAGGGACCAAATGGGGGACTAGTTGATGACCGACAGGAAAACCAAAACAATTAATTATAAACAGGATTCAGTCCCTAAATGCCTAAAAAGTCGTGCGATTATTCCCTGCACCGGGACCGTGGTCAAGTCGTGCCGCAATGGCATAAAACAGCTTCCAAGTTTCAACGAATTAGATGCACAATATGTTTCACCTCACCAAAAACCAAAGAGACCACACCTGCAGGAAAAGGACATGCCTGTTGCCTTTTTTCGTGAATGTCATGTTGAACTTCAAATGCGCAAGCTGCAGTGATAAAAAGGAAGTTTCTGGTAGTTCGAAGCAGCTTCACTTGAAAGATCAGATCACTGGGGACCCTGGGACAGCCGGAGCAGCAGGAAATCTCAAAATGGCTGATAAACCGCAAGGCTGATTGTTGCCCTTTACTTAAACGAATTACTAAGTTAAAATGTGTGAATTCAGAATTCAAGTCTGTCAACACTCACCCTGAAAAGGGTTGCCTCCAATGGCTCCATGGCACCATGTCGGAGCCACCATGGAAATCACACTAGACAAGAATGGATCATTATATGATCCGTCAGGAACTGAATCCTGAAACATGCAAACCAGCCTAGATTATCAGTGCAGCAAATTGTATAATATTGTTGTTGGGGTTCTAAGCTTGGCCCCTTGCTATGTCGGAGAAAGCAGGTACGTGGAGTTGATCAGACTCCATATCCTAGTCAACTGCATGGAGCTTCGTTGGCGACAGCCATGCAGCGACCCTGTCGCCCCCTGCATTAAATTAATTTAGATTTAGAAAGGGAGAGGACAAAGGAAGAAAAAGAGAGAGAAGAAGTTTTACATCTATTCAGATGTTACACACACACACACACACTTCAAACCGATCTTGAAACATCTTGGAAAATCTTGGATCAAACAGGGTAAACTTGATAACAAAATTGAGAGTTGATTTAATCGGTTGCAATGGGGGGGTTAGAAACATAGCAATTTTGTTCACATAAAAGGGTTGTTGTTAGATGGCAAACAAATGTGATTTAACCAAGAACAATTTAGATTTTACCATTAAATGTTTGTTTTTACCAGGTAATTGACAATGCAAAAGACATGATTCATTTTGCCAAAAATTGGATTTCAACTACGGCATCAGGCTGAAATATGCCCTTCTCCAGCAAATACCTTGTAATACCCAGTTCCCTCAAGACCTGAAATTGCCAGCTTCAGAAAAGAAAAAACCTATTGCTTGTCATATGGAGTTTTCCAGAACTAGAGCTACCCCCAGTTCTCATCCATTTATAGATGGGATTTTCCATGAAATAACCCAACCGGCTATGACATTTATAGGGTACCCCCATAGTAAGATCATCCCAAAAAAGAATCCGTAGCTTCGACAGGAATGGATTCGAATGGATCCATTGGAAATTGGAATCCACCAGGATTGTAGCTGATTAAGAATTATGACTGGTTGGTGGTTGAGCCACCCCTCTGAAAAATATGAGTTCGTCAATGGGAAGGATGACATCCCATATATGATGGACAATAAAACATGTTTGAAACCACCAACCAGATTAATAATGACTAATAGTGATGAAGAATTGTTAATTACGAATGATGAAATAACGTCATTATAACCCACCATTGGTATACATAGAAGTCTCATACAATGTCATTGTAGTTATAAAAAAATGAAAATTAGGGGTACCTGGGTCCCCGCACCAGGAAGCGAGGCTGATGGAGGCTGTCTCGGCGCGCTCGGCTTTGTCGCCCTTGAAACGCGGCTCCTGGGAGACTGGGAGCGATACCGAACAGCTGGCGCCGGCCCAGGGCCCCTGGGAAACCGTAGGAAAATGGCAATGGTGATAAAATCCAAGATCAATGGGAGCTTCATGGGATTTATAGCTGATTTATGAGAGATAATTTAACTTTTAATTTGCTTATTTATGATTTGAGCAGGATATAACTGTCGTTAGTGGGGGTTATAAGCAAAAAAACTAGAGGGGCACACCTTGTAATACTGAGTGATACGATGGATTTGTGTTGGTTAATGCTTGGATTAACATGATGAACTATGAGATACACATGGGATAATTTTCAAATGATTGTGGGAAAATTATTGGATGAATATGGAATAGTAATAGTTATTACTATTATCATGAAACCACAATAGAATATGTTTCACTATGGAATTTAGCCATCAAAAAATGGTTTAACCAATGACATTCGCCAAACAGAAAAATAGTATGGTGAGGGGTTGTATAACCTAGTTTTGGGGGTTTATGGGGAACATAAGCAGCAACAACAACAAGAAGAGCATTGGGATTCTGATGAACAACGGTGGGATAAACATGGGATGATTTTGGAGTGACGATGGATAAGTCGGTTGAATTTGGTATACTCATGAATTATGAAAATTACCATAGCATAACTATATTCAAACCATCCTCTATATATATATGTATAATATGGTCATTCAAGCAAACCCAACAAAGATTGGATATTAACCATCAAACATGTGGTTTGTACAGAATTTAATCATAACCAGAATGTGTGGTTTATCATAGTCTCTGGGATAAAGATGATCTTGGAAGAACTGCTGATCAACACACCATCCTTTCTGCCGCATTTGGGGTCCCCTCTTGCGCATCGCCACCTCCATAATGTCCATCGCACTCTGGTCACAGACCACCAGAATCTTGGAGGAGGAGTGTGGGGGCACCTCAGAAGTTGCCCATAGCGAGAATCATCGCAAGAGATCTGAAAAGAGGACCTCAAATCATTAATTAATCATTGGGGTGGCTGTCTGGACCCACAAAAGGCAACGTAAATATGAAGTTACTGTGGGTAAAACAATCATAAACCATGCATCCATCCCCCAGTCATCACCATAAATAAATGTAGGTGGTATAAACTTACCATTCCCAGTCATTTTTGGTGGTAAAAATGGCATTGTTTCACCCACCCAAGGGGGCTCCAGGCCAGATTGCCCAACATTCGGAAGAAACTCGCGGCCTGGGCGGCAATTTCTCGGAGCTTGTGACAGCAGTTCTGATTTCTTAGGTGCGGTTGACAAATGATGGTGATTTTGGCTGATAAATGGATGATTTATGGATGATTTTGGCTGTAATTATGGATGATTTATTACATGAATTAAATCCATTACCATCAAATAATCCATGTAATGAAGCAGTTGACCTGGAGTCAATCATTGGTAGTTGAAGTAAATCAGAAAACTGGAGCTATAGTTGACTTGTTGCGGAAATGGCAAGCAAGAAACCGTAAAAAGATCGTGGCCATGGAAGGAGGTTTCCTGCCTCGCAGATTTGTGGGCGTCCCCAAGTGTCATAGGGTACCATCTTCAAGCACTGACCATCGTGATCTTCAGGATCTTGGGCCATCCAATTGTTAGGTTTTAATCGTTGGAGCCACTGACCGGTGTTCAAATCTCATGTGGATTTGTCTGAAAATAGGATACTCCAGAATTAAATGGTTTACCCTCTGGTAATTTAACATAGCTATTGAAAATGGTGATTTATAGTTGATTTACCCATTAAAAATTGTGATTTTAAATAGCTATGTTAAATTACCAGAGGGTATCACCAGCATAATGTCACCACGATGGTTGGGGGTCAATTCCTCATGTTCAGACAAACCCTCCTCCCATGGCCATGGCCATCTAAAACCCCCATCTTTCAGTTACCTGTCAGATCATGGCTGGTAAAATGACAATGGTTACCTATCTCAACAGGAACCAAAAAAATCGTGCACTGTGAATATGATCAAACAGTCCATGTTCAATCAAACCCTTCAAAATGATATTAAGTTCATTAATCATTAAATACCCCATTCATGCGTATTGAAGGATACCCCTATATCAACCATTTATATCCATTCATCATTATATAAATAATCTTCCCATTAACTGAAAATACCCCTATAAACCAAACATAACTGCTACTTGGGAGGCCTGGTTGTCATGAACCACACGCTACTTTTGGTGGGTCTTTTGGCCGGTCTATGCATTTAACATAAAAAAAACTTGTATTGGATGTTTGGGTCATCAAACAATGGGATCATAAAATGTGGATGATAACTAATTATTGAACAGTGGGTCAATGCACCTTCTCATGGTGGCATCGTTTGTTTTAAGATCGGTTGTTGGGTTAACCCGTAATTTTTCCATGGAAAATCCCAATTTTTGCAAATTAAATCATCAATTGTTTGCAGCTCACACGTTTGGCAGGTCAAATCATGATTGTGCGCGTGTAAAATCACCATTCTTGCAGGTGAAATACCTGAAATCACCTTTGTTTTGGCGCGTTTTCATCACTTAAGACACCATTCTTCCAGGTAAAATCACCATTTTCCATACGAAATCACAATTTTCCATACAAAATCACAATTTTCCATACAGAATCACAATTTTCCATACAAAATCACCATGTTTGGTGGTCAAATTACCAGATCTTCCACCGGGTTTTTGGTGCGGTAACCTGACCTCGCCCCGGTCGCCCCGGCGGCCGCCAGTGATGCCGCCAAGGTCGCCGACCTGACGGTGATACAGCTGTGTTTGACAGTGGGAAATAGAAAAACCCTCTGGTAATTTAGCATAACATGGAAAAATATATCTATCTGATATCTATCTGATATCTATCTATCTATCGATCGATCTATCTATCTATCTATCTGTCTATCTATCTATCTATCTATCTATCTATATAGAGAGAGAGATATGGGGGTTTCCATGAATGGGGGTACCCAAAAAACAGATGGTTCATAATGGAATTTCCAGATTTGGGGTAACCCCGTTTTAAGAAACCTCCGTATATCACATGGGAATAAATATGGTCAAAGGGGATATCCATAGTCATATACTATACGCCATATATTGCACAAATATGAAAAGACCATATAATATCCCCAATTGCATGATGTTAATAAACGTATTCATCCCCAAATCCATGATAGTCATTGTGCTATTTCATCCGTTTCTATCCCCATGACATATTCCCATATATTGATGGTAAATTACCATATGACATCCCCAAGTTCATCTATTGTTTAACAAATATACATGTTCTTCATTCAGTTTCATTCCATTCAAAAAATATCAGCATATATTAAATTATCATAAAGTATAGATGATTTTTTCCAATGATGAATCTAGTATCTTATGGGGACAATTCTATTCACTGCAAATCAACATATATTTCGCTTCAGGGAACCCATCCATGCCGTTTTTCTTTTCAAACAAAACGCTGGGACGCCCTGACCACTCTGGACACACTGGCCTCCGTCATCACCTTGCCGGGCGCAGTTATGCCGTTGTGGGCCCCCCCAGTGAAATGTTCGTTGGTTTATGGGGCCACATCTAAATATAGTTATGCAAAAGCGTATCATACACCAACTTGCTATGAAATAGTTAGAACTGCACCAACTGAACGCGATTCCGGGGTCCCCATCCTGTACCATTGTGGATGATAATACGAGTGGGACCGAGTGGGAGAATATCAAGTAATGTGGTAAAATAACCACAATGGTATGGTTTTATTATGGTCAACAGTAGCGTATTTAGTTTCTGTAGCCACATTGTACAACGGCATTTATAATGGCATTAATTATTGATACTGTTAATGGCATTGTACTGTAATCCCATTGTACTGCATTTATTTAACCACATTGTACAGTTACAACCACATTAATTGTATATAATATTGTACAGCTAATTATACCATTGTGGTTTAATAAAAATACCGAGAACCATTGTACAGTCAATTATACCGTTATACCGTATACCATTGTACCAATTCAAATTGGGTCTATCAACCATAGTGGTTGTACCATGTTATAACCATAGTGGTTTATAAACCCAATGAATACCATATCGTTTTTGTCTCGTAAACCAGAGCGACATTGGAGTTATATTCAGCGACTTAGCTATTAAACGGGGGCCACACATTGTAGGAAAACTATAGGGACTTATGGAACCCATCCAAACATGAAGGAAACCATGTCGGCCTTACTCAACAAACATAGGGAATCATATTTGATCTATAGTTAGCTAAGTTAGTGCAAATAACAAGTGGATGAACCGACCGTAGATATGTAGAACTAACTCGTCACCTTTGGGGAGGCTTGAATCCTCATGATTTTATACGCTAGTAATGATATTCTTTGGAATCAATGGGAAGAGAATTCACCAACTTCATGTCATGTTGATGGGTACGATTGAACATGTCGATTGATTGGTTTGAGGGAAACACATGAAACATTTACTGGAAGCAATTGTTGTTTTTTTAACCATCATCCAGTGCTGGGATAACATTCATATGGCCCTAAGCTTCCAGAGTTACCTTCAAGATAGGTCAGCGTTGGGTGATTTTTACCATGGATTTGGGGTTGCTTACCTATCTGACAGGTTTACCTGCAAGATGAAGGGCCTATAAGATACCTTTTGAGCATCTTTTTGGGGGTCGCTAGAGTGGTTCACCAAGTTTGGACTGAAAAGTCTGAACCAAGAGTAGATGTGACGAATGCTTCCACCAAAAACTGAAATCCAACAGAATAAATCCAAAGACTGTTTTCCACCATCTGCACTGTCAGTCGAGATTGGCAACACATTATATAGGCATAGAAACCATGCTCCTTTCTTCGTCGATCAGGTGGTTTGGATCGGGAAAATGACTTCATCCTTAAGTAGAAGTCCTTCTGAAAGCCACCATGAAGCAGTGCCTTCCCCCTTTTTTTGTTTCAAATCATGTGATTTGAAAGCCACTATAGTACGAAACAAGCCGGTGGTGAGTTGAGTACCCTAATGTAGCAGGTGCTCACTATATATAGATCCATACTTCCACAATCACAGCAGCGGGCCAACTGACTGCACTGGAAACTTGGCTCCACGCAATCATGTCCAAGGAGGGTGCCTGTCATGGCAGAGATCCATCGCGAGGATATTCCGTAGGAAGTCAAACAAAAGACAACAAAACCTGCAAAAAACACACGGGACATCAACCAAAACGGCTTTGGACTGGCCATGAATCGTTGCTTTGACGCACATCCAATCGTACGCTTGGTTGCTGCCACGGCCTGCAACTTCTCTGAGAGGAGTGCTCCATCAAAGTTCTGGGTCCTGGTTTTACAGCAGCATAGGCCACTGACACCACCAGCCCGCAGCCCGCAGCCCGCAGCCCGTTGGAGAATTTGTTTACAGGCAGTTGTGTGATTTTCTTTTTTCCCGAATGCGTAGCGAAGGGTTCCCGTTTATAGTTGGGGGTCTGGGGGTTGGACCTTTGTTCGCCGCCAGTTGGTCGGCGCGTCGTTTTCGCGTCGTTTTCGCGTCGTTTTCGCGTCGTTTTTCGCGTCGTTAATTCGGTGTCTATAGGGGAAGCTGCAAAACCTCGTGTCTTTTGCGACGTAGATGTCGCAGTGTCTATAGGGGAAGCTGCAAAACCTCGTGTTTTTTTTTACGTAGATGTCGCAGTGTCTATAGGGGAAGCTGCTAAACCTCTTGTTTTTTGCAACGTAGATGTCGCAGTGTCTATAGGGGAAGCTGCAAAACCTCGTGTCTTTTGCGACGTAGATGTCGCAGTGTCTATAGGGGAAGCTGCAAAACCTCGTGTTTTTTGCAACGTAGATGTCGCAGTGTCTATAGGGGAAGCTGCAAAACCTCGTGTTTTTTGCAACGTAGATGTCGCAGTGTCTATAGGGGAAGCTGCAAAACCTCGTGTTTTTTGCTGCGTGGATGTCGCCGTGTCTATAGGGGAAGCTGCAAAACCTCGTGTCTTTTGCGACGTAGATGTCGCAGTGTCTATAGGGGAAGCTGCAAAACCTCGTGTTTTTTGCTCCGTAGATGTCGCAGTGTCTATAGGGAAAGCTGCAAAACCTCGTGTGTTTTGCTTAAAGCTGTCGCAGTGTCTATATGGGAAGCTACAATACCTCGTGTTTTTTTTACGTAGATGTCGCAGTGTCTATAGGGGAAGCTGCAATACCTCCTGTTTTTTGCTGCGTAGATGTCGCACTGTCTATAGGGGAAGCTGCAATACCTCGCGTGTTTTGCTACGAAGCTGTCGCACTGTCTATAGGGGAAGCTGCAATACCTCGCGTGTTTTGCTACGAAGCTGTCGCAGTGTCTATAGGCGAAGCTGCAAAACCTCGTGTTTTTTGCAACGTAGATGTCGCAGTGTCTATAGGGGAAGCTGCAAAACCTCGTGTTTTTTGTTGCGTAGATGTAGCAGTGTCTATAGGGGAAGCTGCAATACCTCGTGTTTTTTGCTACGTAGATGTAGCAGTGTCTATAGGGGAAGCTGCAAAACCTCGTGTGTTTTGCTACGTAGATGTCGCAGTGTCTACAGGGGAAGCTGCAAAACCTCGTGTTTTTTGCTGCGTGGATGTCGCCGTGTCTATAGGGGAAGCTGCAAAAGCTCGTGTTTTTTGTTGCGTAGATGTCGCAGTGTCTATAGGGGAAGCTGCAATACCTCGCGTGATTTGCTACGTAGCTGTCGCAGTGTCTATAGGGGAAGCTGCAATACCTCGTGTTTTTTGCTACGTAGATGTAGCAGTGTCTATAAGGGAAGCTGCAAAACCTCGTGTTTTTTGCAACGTAGATGTCGCAGTGTCTATAGGGGAAGCTGCAAAACCTCGTGTCTTTTGCGACGTAGATGTCGCAGTGTCTATAGGGGAAGCTGCAAAACCTCGTGTTTTTTGCAACGTAGATGTCGCAGTGTCTATAAGGGAAGCTGCAAAACCTCGTGTCTTTTGCGACGTAGATGTCGCAGTGTCTATAGGGGAAGCTGCAAAACCTCGTGTTTTTTGCTCCGTAGATGTCGCAGTGTCTATAGGGAAAGCTGCAAAACCTCGTGTGTCTTGCTACGTAGATGTCGCAGTGTCTATAGGGGAAGCTGCAAAACCTCGTGTTTTTTGCTGCGTGGATGTCGCCGTGTCTATAGGGGAAGCCAGGGGGAAGCTGCAACACCTCGTGTTTTTTGCTACGCACAGTAGTACTTGGAAATAGTTTGTGCGAGCTTTGTAGTACACAGTAGTACTGGGAACGACTTTGTGCAAGCTTTGTAGTACAAAGTAGTACTGGGAACGTGTTTGTGCCAGTTTTGTAGTACAAAGTAGTACTGGGAACGACTTTGTGCAAGCTTTGTAGTAAAAAGTGGTACTGGGAAGTGCTTTGTGCAAGCTTTGTAGTACACAGTAGTACTGGGAAGTGCTTCGTGCAAACTTTGTAGTACACAGTAGTACTGGGAAGTGCTTTGTGCAAGCTTTGTAGTACACAGTAGTACTGGGAAGTGCTTTGTGCAAGCTTTGTAGTACACAGTAGTACTGGGAAGTGCTTTGTGCGAGCTTTGTAGTACACAGTAGTACTGGGAAGTGCTTTGTGCGAGCTTTGTAGTACACAGTAGTACTGGGAAGTGGTTTGTGCGAGCTTTGTAGTACACAGTAGTACTGGAACGACTTTGCGCAAGCTTTGTAGTACAAAGTAGTACTGGGAAGTGCTTTGTGCAAGCTTTGTAGTACACAGTAGTACTGGGAAGTGCTTTGTGCAAGCTTTGTAATACACAGTAGTGCTGGGAACGTGCTTCTGCAAGCTTTGTAGTACAAAGTAGTACTGCGCACGACTTTGTGCAAGCTTTGTAGTACAAAGTAGTACTGGGAAGTAGTTGTTGCAAGCTTTGTAGTGCACAGTAGGACTGGGAACGACTTTGCAAGCCTTGTAGTACAAAATAGTACTGGGAAGTGCTTTGTGCAAGCTTTGTAGTACACAGTAGTACTGGGAACGACTTTGTGCAAGCTTTGTAGTAAAAAGTGGTACTGGGAAGTGCTTTGTGCAAGCTTTGTAGTGCACAGTAGTACTGGGAAGTGCTTCGTGCAAGCTTTGTAGTACACAGTAGTACTGGGAACGTGTTTGTGCGAGCTTTGTAGTACACAGTAGTACTGGGAAGTGCTTTGTGCAAGCTTTGTAGTACACAGTAGTACTGGGAACGGCTTTTTGCAAGCTTTGTAGTACACAATAGTACTGGGAAGTAGTTTGTGCGAGCTTTGTAGTACACAGTAGTACTGGGAAGTACTTTGTGCAAGCTTTGTAGTATACAGTAGTACTGGGAACGTGTTTGTGCGAGCTTTGTAGTACACAGTAGTACTTGGAAGTAGTTTGTGCGAGCTTTGTAGTACACAGTAGTACTGGGAACGTGCTTCTGCAAGCTTTGTAGTACACTGGGAAGTACTTTGTGCAAGCTTTGTAGTACACAGTAGTACTGGGAACGTGTTTGTGCGAGCTTTGTAGTACACAGTAATACTTGGAAGTAGTTTGTGCCAGCTTTGTAGTACACAGTAGTACTGGGAACGTGCTTCTGCAAGCTTTGTAGTACACAGTAGTACTGGGAAGTAGTTTGTGCAAGCTTTGTAGTACACAGTAGTACTGGAACGTGTTTGTACACTTGTAGTACACAGTAGTACTGGGAAGTGCTTTCTGCAAGCTTTTTAGTACACAGTAGTACTGGGAAGTAGTTTGTGCGAGCTTTGTAGTACACAGTAGTACTGGGAACGTGTTTGTGCGAGCTTTGTAGTACACAGTAGTACTGGAACGTGTTTGTGAAAGTTTTGTAGTACACAGTAGTACTGGGAAGTAGTTTGTGCGAGCTTTGCAGTACACATTAGTACTGGAACGTGTTTGTGCGAGCTTTGTAGTACACAGACAGTAGTACTGGGAAGTGCTTTGTGCAAGTTTTGTAGTACACAGTAATACTGGGAAGTAGTTTGTGCGAGCTTTGTAGTACACAGTAGTACTGGAACGACTTTGTGCAAGCTTTGTAGTACAAAGTAGTACTGGGATACACAGTAGTACTGGGAACGTGTTTGTGCGAGCTTTGTAGTACACAGTAGTACTGGCACGTGTTTCTGCAAGTTTTCTAGTACACAGTAGTACTGGGAAGTAGTTTGTGCGAGCTTTGCAGTACACATTAGTACTGGGACGTGTTTGTGCGAGCTTTGTAGTACACAGTAGTACTGGGAAGTGCTTTGTGTAAGTTTTGTAGTACACAGTAGTACTGGGAAGTAGTTTGTGCGAGCTTTGTAGTACACAGTAGTATTGGAACGGCTTTGTGCAAGCTTTGTAGTAAAAAGTGGTACTGGGAAGTGCTTTGTGCAAGCTTTGTAGTACACAGTAGTACTGGGAAGTGCTTTGTGCAAGCTTTGTAATACACAGTAGTACTGGGAACGACTTTGTGCAAGCTTTGTAGTACAAAGTAGTACTGCGCACGACTTTGTGCAAGCTTTGTAGTACAAAGTAGTACTGGGAAGTAGTTGTTGCAAGCTTTGTAGTACACAGTAGGACTGGGAACGACTTTGCAAGCCTTGTAGTACACAGTAGTACTGGGAAGTGCTTTGTGCAAGTTTTGTAGTACACAGTAGTACTGGGAAGTGCTTCCTGCAAGCTTTGTAGTACAAAGTAGTACTGGGAAGTGCTTCGTGCAAGCTTTGTAGTACAAAGTGCTACTGGGAAGTAGTTTGTGCAAGCTGTGTAGTACACAGTAGTACTGGGAAGTACTTTGTGCAAGCTGTGTAGTACAAAGTAGTACTGGGAAGTAGTTTGTGCAGGAAGTGCTTTGTGCAAGCTTTGTAGTACAAAGTAGTACGGGGAAGTGCTTTGTGCGAGCTTTGTAGTACACAGTAGTACTGGGAACGACTTTGTGCAAGCTTTGTAGTACACAGTAGTACTGGGAACGTGCTTCTGCAAGCTTTGTAGTACACAGTAGTACTGGGAAGTGCTTTCTGCAAGCTTTGTAGTACACAGTAGTACTGGAACGTGTTTGTGCAAGCTTTGTAGTACACAGTAGTACTGGGAAGTAGTTTGTGCGAGCTTTGTAGTGCACAGTAGTACTGGGAACGTGTTTGTGCGAGCTTTGTAGTACACAGTAGTACTGGAACGTGTTTCTGCAAGCTTTGTAGTACACAGTAGTACTGGGAAGTGCTTCGTGCAAGCTTTGTAGTACAAAGTGGTACTGGGAAGTAGTTTGTGCAAGCTGTGTAGTACACAGTAGTACTGGGAAGTACTTTGTGCAAGCTGTGTAGTACAAAGTAGTACTGGGAAGTAGTTTGTGCAGGAAGTGCTTTGTGCAAGCTTTGTAGTACAAAGTAGTACTGGGAAGTTCTTTGTGCGAGCTTTGCAGTAGTACTGGGAAGTTCTTTGTGCGAGCTTTGTAGTACACAGTAGTACTGGGAACGTGTTTCTGCAAGCTTTGTAGTACACAGTAGTACTGGAACGTGTTTGTGCATTTGTAGTACACAGTAGTACTGGGAAGTGCTTTCTGCAAGCTTTGTAGTACACAGTGGTACTGGGAAGTAGTTTGTGCGAGTTTTGTAGTGCACAGTAGTACTGGGAACGTGTTTGTGCGAGCTTTGTAGTACACAGAAGTACTGGAACGTGTTTGTGCAAGTTTTGTAGTACACAGTAGTACTGGGAAGTAGTTTGTGCGAGCTTTGTAGTACACATTAGTACTGGAACGTGTTTGTGCGAGCTGTGTAGTACACAGTAGTACTGGGAAGTGTTTTGTGCAAGTTTTGTAGTACACAGTAGTACTGGGAAGTAGTTTGTGCGAGCTTTGTAGTACAAAGTAGTACTGGGAACGTGTTTGTGCGAGCTTTGTAGTACACAGTAGTACTGGGAACGTGTTTCTGCAAGCTTTGTAGTACAAAGTAGTACTGGGAAGTGCTTTGTGCAAGCTTTGTAGTACACAGTAGTACTGGGAAGTAGTTTGTGCGAGCTTTGTAGTGCACAGTAGTATATACTGGGAACGACTTTGTGCAAGCTTTGTAGTAAAAAGTGGTACTGGGAAGTGCTTTGTGCAAGCTTTGTAGTACACAGTAGTACTGGGAAGTGCTTTCTGCAAGCTTTGTAGTACACAGTAGTACTGGGAAGTACTTTGTGCAAGCTTTGTAGTACACAGTAGTACTGGGAACGTGTTTGTGCGAGCTTTCTAGTAAACAGTAGTTACTGGGATTCTTCGTGCAAGCTTTGTTAGTACACAATGTAAACTGGAATTGTTGTGTGAGCTTTGTAGTACACAGGGTCGTCACTGGGAAGTAAAACTTTGTGCAAGCTTTGTAGTCACCAGTAGTACTTGGGAACGTGGTTTGTGCGAGCTTTGTAGTACACATTAAGTACTTGGAAGTCAGTTGTGCGAGCTTTGTAGTAACACGTAGTACTGGTAAGTGCTTCTGCAAGCTTATGTAGTCACAAAGAGTACTGGGAAGTCCTTTGTGTCGGCCTTTGTAGTAACACAGTAAGTACTGGGAACGTGTTCTGCAAGCTTTTTGTCGTGCACAGTGTACTGGGAAGTAGTGGTGCAAGCTTTTTGATGTACACAGTAGTCTGTAACGTGTTTGTGCATTTTGTAGTACACAGTAGTACTGGGAACGTGTTTGTGCGAGCTTTGTAGTACACAGTAGTACTGGGAAGTGCTTTGTGCAAGCTTTGTAATACAAAGTAGTACTGGGAAGTGCTTTGTGCGAGCTTTGTAGTACACAGTAGTACTGGGAACGTGTTTTGTGCGAGCTTTGTAGTACACAGTAGTACTGGGAAGTAGTTTGTGCAAGCTTTGTAGTACACAGTAGTACTGGGAAGTGCTTTGTGCAAGCTTTGTAGTACAAAGTAGTACTGGGAAGTGCTTTGTGCAAGCTTTGTAGTACAAAGTAGTACTGGGAAGTGCTTTGTGCAAGCTTTGTAGTACAAAGTAGTACTGGGAATTGCTTTGTGCAAGCTTTGTAGTACAAAGTAGTACTGGGAAGTGCTTTGTGCAAGCTTTGTAGTACAAAGTAGTACTGGGAAGTGCTTTGTGCAAGATTTGTAGTACAAAGTAGTACTGTAAACTTGTGGTGTCATGTGGTAGTACACATTAAGTAACTGGGAAAGTGGGCTTTGTGCACGCTTATGTCATATCACAAAGTAGTACTGGGAAGTGCTTTGTGGAGCTTTGTAGTAACACAGTAGTAACTGGGAACTTGTTTGTGCGAGCTTTGTAGTACACAGTAGTACTGGGAAGTACTTTGTGCAAGCTTTGTAGTAGACAGTAGTACTGGGAACGTGTTTGTGCGAGCTTTGTAGTACACAGTAGTACTTGGAAGTAGTTTGTGCGAGCTTTGTAGTACACAGTAGTACTGGGAAGTGCTTTGTGCAAGTTTTGTAGTACACAGTAGTACTGGGAAGTAGTTTGTGCGAGCTTTGTAATACACATTAGTACTGGAACGACTTTGTGCAAGCTTTGTAGTACACAGTAGTACTGGGAAGTAGTTTGTGCGAGCTTCGTAGTACACAGTAGTACTGGGAAATGCTTTGTGCAAGCTTTGTAGTACACAGTAGTACTGGAACGAGTTTGTGCAAGCTTTGTAGTACAAAGTAGTACTGGGAACGTGTTTGTGCGAGCTTTGTAGTACAAAGTAGTACTGGGAAGTAGTTGTTGCAAGCTTTGTAGTACACAGTAGTACTGGGAACGACTTTGCAAGCCTTGTAGTACAAAGTAGTACTGGGAAATAGTTGTTGCAAGCTTTGTAGTACACAGTAGTACTGGGAACGACTTTGCAAACCTTGTAGTACAAAGTAATACTGGGAAGTGCTTTGTGCAAGCTTTGTAGTACACAGTAGTACTGGGAACGGTTTCGTGCAAGCTTTGTAGTACAAAGTGGTACTGGGAAGTGCTTCGTGCAAGCTTTGTAGTACAAAGTGGTACTGGGAAGTTCTTTGTGCGAGCTTTGCAGTACACAGTAGTACTGGGAACGTGTTTCTGCAAGCTTTGTAGTACACAGTAGTACTGGGAAGTAGCTTGTGCAAGCTGTGTAGTACACAGTAGTACTGGGAAGTGCTTCGTGCAAGCTGTGTAGTACAAAGTACTGGGAAGTAGTTTGTGCAAGCTTTGCAGTACAAAGTGGTGCTGGGAAGTGCTTTGTATAGTGTGGAGTGGGGAGTGTAGAGCGTGTAGAGTGTGGAATGTGTAGTGTAGATTGTAAAAAGTAAGAGTGTAAAGTGTAGAGTGTGGAGTGTGGAGTGTATAGTGTAGTGTAGAGTGTGGAGTGCAAAGTGTGGAGTGTAAAGTGTGGAGTGTGGAGTGTAAAGTATGGCGTGTGGAGTGTAAAGTGTGGAGTATGGAGTGAGGAGTGTGGTGTGTGTAGAGTGTAGAATGTGGTGGAGTGTGGCGTGTGAAGTGTGGAGTGTGGAGTGTAGTGTGTGTAGTGAGGAGTGAGGAGTGTGGAGTGTAAAGTGTTGAGTGTGGAGTGAGGAGTGTAAAGTGTAAAGTGTGGAGTGTAAACTGTAGAGTGTGGAGTGTGGAGTGGAAAGTGGCGAGTGTGGAGTGTAAAGTGTGGCGTGTGGAATGTAAAGTGTGGAGTGTGGAGTGAGGAGTGTGGTGGGTGTAGAGTGTTGAGTGTGGTGGAGGGTGGAGTGTAGAGCGTAGAGCGTGGAGTGAGGAGTGTAAAGTGTAAAGTGTGGAGCCTGGAGTATAAAGTGTAGAGTGTGGATTGCGGAGCGGAAAGTGTCGAGTGTGAAGTGTAGAGTGTCAACTTAAGTGTAGAGTGTAAAGTGTAGAGTGTAAAGTGTAGAGTGTGGAGTGTGGAGTGTAAAGTGTAGTGTGCGGAGTGTGGAGTGTAAAGTGTAGAGTGTGGAGTGTGCAGTGGGTAAAGTGTGGAGTGTGGCAGGTGGTGGTGATCTCGTTGTGCTGGTGATGTTGCTGTGCTGGTGATGCTGTTGTGTTGGTGATTTTGTTGTGATTTCATTGCGCTGGTGATATTGCTGTGCTGGTTGTGATTTCGTTGTGCTTGTGGTGATGTTGTTGTGCTGGTTTGTTGTCTCTTTGTGAACCGCACGATGCATGCAAACATCGGTTCGTTTTCCTATTGCAGAGGCTTGCACTCGTAGTCCAAGAACGTGAATACATTCGGGTTCGTGGCTTCCATCTTTGTTTAATACTGATATCTGCTTGTAACTTGGATGAAACAATGAAACATTCCACTTTCAGCCATGGTGTTTCTGTTTGTTCGAGGAAAAGAAGGCCAGCCATGGCCAGCCAGCGCAACAGAGTGTTCAAAGCTGACATCCCTTGCTTCCGGGTCAACGCAAAAAGAAATCCCGACTTTCAAACCTCGAAAACGAGGATTTGCCAAAGCCTGCCCGAACAAAGATGATCTTGACAACTCTACCCAATGGCAAAGTCCCTTTGTCTCTTGATTTACCCTCTGGTAAACTAACATAGCTATGGAAAACCCACATTTTTAATTGGTAAATCAACTATAAATGGGTCATTTTCAATAGCTATGTTAAATTACCAGAGGGTATCTCAATTTTCCTACAATGTGGGGCCCCTGTAAACCGCAGCAGTTGGGGATTACACACCTGTAATGTAAAAAATAATGACAGTTCATAGCATAGCAACGTTGGTGAACATAACCCCAATGTAACGATAGTTTATGGTAGATATATCTATAGAGGTAATGGATTCCTCAAGGATGTTATTTTGTTTTACATGCATAAATATCAACACACAAACATACTATATCTGTCAAATACATTCAATCTAGATTCCAACCATCGTATTTCTAGTCTAAATGCAGGATATAAAACATCTCCAACCAACAAAATCAGGATTCATGACATTAATGGCTATTAAAAAAAAAACAAAAACACCGCTTTTCCCATGGTTTTTATCGATGGTCTTCCGCTCCTTCCCGGGCTACATGAGGTCACCAGCAGGGTCTTCCCCTTGGTCTTGGTGCAGTCCAATGCATCACGGCGAAACCTGGCGGTTAAAGAAGGGCTTGGATTTCTATGGGATTTTCTGCTTAAATGATTTATACATATAAATATATATATATATATATATACTATGGGGGTACATGGTACGGGAGTCCCTTTGGCATCACTTTTCAAGCCCCCAGTTTTGGGCCCCCACCGGCCATGTTTTGTCACACTATCTTCCAGTTGTGCAGTTTGAGAAAATTGGCATGGAAGCTGTCCAGACGGCATGGCTTCTGCAGCTAGCACGGCTCACAGCTCGTCGCAGAAAACACAATTTGACTATATCTATAGCCATGTCGTCTGCCGCCGCTGGTATGGAAAGGGATGCTGCGGAAGGTGCTGCTGTAGCCCATGTGCCCGGGATGGATGACCGTATAGCTGCTTTGAAAGCTGAAAGGCAGGCCTTGAAACGCCAGCTGCAGCAAACCAGTCGAGAAGTCAAGGCCCAGGCTGGTTCAATTTCATCCTTGTGTGCCATGTTTGTGTTGGTGAAGCTGTATTGACATTCCATCATGCCACTTGCACCTTCATCTTTCCCATCTCAGGTTTTTTTTGTGAAGCTGCATTGCACCTGCATCGCACCACTTGTACTTTCAATCTTTTTGTTTCAGCTCTGCGCCGGGAGAAAAAACGACGCAGAGTCCTGAAATCGGCGGGCAAACTGAGCACCCAAGACCTCTCGTGGCTCCTGGCCTTCAAAATGACCCGTCAGCAGTAGCAGCTTCTTCAAAACTATATGTCTCACTGAAGCACTTGTGACTGCTGTCTCCCGAGGAGTCAGCAGCAGCTTCCTCAAAACTATATGTTTCACTGAAGCACTTGAGACTGCTGTCTCTAAAGGAGTCAGACAGGAATGTGGTGAAGTCACACGCGGCAGGTTACCTAACGACTGCTGTCTCCCAAGGCATCAAAAACACGTTTTTGCGTGCTTTGGCACCTGTTTTTGCTGTGGCCCCAAAAAACTACTAAGGATACTTCCAACCATTTTCGCAGACTTTGCATTGGCACGGCAGAGTCACAGCTCACGCACGCATGAAAACTACTAACCCGTGAAATTGAAATCACAATGGCTTGGACGCAAAACTACTAAGGAATTCTGCCAACTGAAAAGAAATAGAAGAAAGTGTTTCCTTTTTTGTCCATTGAACAATTCCTTAGTAGTTTTGCCACCGAGCCAATACAAAGTTTGAAATTCCCCTTAGTAGTTTTCACACAGAAGCATAGTAGTTTTGCGGCAGAGCCAATATAAAGTTGTGACATCGTGCTTAGTAGTTTCACACCGAAGCATGCTAGTGTTGCAGTGGAGCCAATGCAAAGATTGACATCGCCATTGATCATTGTTAGTTTCACACACAAACATCACGCGGTTTCATCTTGCAGCTGTGATGTGCCACCTGCAGTGACGGCACATGTGTTTCTTCCTAATTCAAAGGGCCTTTCCGGCCACATGTTGGCCCCCCCCCTGCACCCCCCGGAATCAAGGTTGACGAAAATGTCTTGCTGTGAAGACCTGACGCTTTGGAAGTTGGCTGCTGCAGTGATTAACACCAGGAAACAACATTGATCCTGGGGGTGCTGGGGGGAGTCGCCTGCTTTGACCCTATACGTGGGGCCTCGTGCTGTGTGTGCAAAAGGTCTGAATTTGGGGTCGCTAACGGACGCTGATTTCAGCCCTCTTCATTGAGGGCCCTCCTTGTGACAACACAAACCTGCATGATGTGGAGAGATAACCAGCAGTGTTTTTCCATAACAGTGTCATAACACAAACCCACATGATTGGACGGCTCATCATCATTGTTCGGTCTTGCCTGCTCCTCACAGGTCGCCTCTCCTCGATGTTTTTTCCTGGACGCAGCCATATGAATCAAGTCTTGCCGCGCTGACTGCATGTAACAGCAATATAGTTTTTGTTTTTTGCATGAGCCAGACATGAATTTGTATGCTTTGAAATGCCGAGGCCATGCTTTGGCCGCACTCATTAGGTCATCTTCCTTGCTTCCATTCGAATTCAGCTGTATCAGACAGCATTGGTTTGACATGACACGAATGTTTTCAATGAGTCTGCCGACAGATAGTTTTTCTGCGGTCAGTCATGCAGCCGGCCTGTGGTGTGGCCGAAGGCACATCTGATGCCAGGGTGTCAGACTTGAAGGAAGCCTTGGTGCAGAACGGCAAAGCACTGAAAGCGGCTTATCGGCAGAATGCCAAAAAACGGAAAAGGTTGCACTGTGCCGGCCTTGGAGTGGCAGCCCGCAAAATTGGGGTAGCTGTTTACATGCTGTCGAATTTTAACATGGATTTGACTCTCCGCATGGCTTGTGCTTTGACAACGATATCCTATGGCAGCAATGGGTACCCACGGCAGCTTTGATCCAAGAGATGTTGCTGACGACGCCGCTGCCAGATTTGACCGCTTTGGATGACACAGCTTCACGCAAAGCGCAAGCCTTCCTGGCCGAAGCAGCCACAGAGCAGTGGGTCTATGACTGCAATACGAATCATTGTCAAGCACCTTCTGCGATGGACACGTTTTTGAAGTGGGAGGAGGCCTTCCATGGCCAGAAGCTGGACATGGGTGTGCCAAACAAACGCATGGTCAATAAGTGGGTGCAGCGCTGGCGGGCTCGGTGGGGCGTCCGCCGGAAGGTGCTGAAGCAAGTTGTTAGCAGAGACCCCGCTGTACTGCGCGACAAGGCGCGGGCCAGCCAACTTACAACATTTTGTCTTCTTTTTTTGGGTTGGCTGGTTCCATTTTTGGGGCCGGAATGTGGCCCCAAAAATGGGTCCCCCTCATGTTTCATGCCTGTATAAGCCTACTTAATCCCGGTTGGGCGGTCCCATTTTTGGGGCCAGAATCTGGCACCAAAAATAGGCCCCCATTTTCAATCAATTTCTTCCCTCGGAATTATATTTGGGGACCCTATATATAATAAGGCTTTGTCTTTCACTTCCTGCAACGCTGGAGCAGGTCATGACATTTTGGCGGGCCATCTGCTATTGCCACAGCAGGCTCGCAGACAGGGAGCTGCTTTTTATAAATCTGGATGAGACTAGCGTCGGCCACACCATGACACCGCCTATTGGATGTGTGGCAAAGCCACGGACAGCAGGGGGCAAACAGCCGCATGCACAGGTGCTGAAGCAACATGTTCGAGGTGCGTGGACTTATGTCAGCGTGATTTGCAACTGCAAGCACATCCAAGGGAAGTTGCCTCATTTTCTCATTGGCACCCAGGTGAAACTCATGAAGAAGCTCTTGCGCGCCCAGCGCGCTTTGCCACAAACTCGTTTGCGTGTTTTGCGGCAAAAGTCCGCTTGGACCTCTGCTGCCAACAGTGCCCAAATTCTCAAAGAGATCGCAGAAGTGCTGAAAAGTTTTCCGTCAAAACAAGGCGTTGTACTCCTTGATTGTGCGCCGGCACACCTGCCACGGCAGGTCATGGCAATGGCACGCAAGTGCAAGCTGCAGCTTATATATATCCCAGCGCAGACAACGGATTACCTACAGCCGCTTGATCTGCAAGGCTTCTCCCCTTTTAAAAAATATTTGAAAAGGAAGCACCAGGAGTTGCGCTCATATTCAGAGCACGGTTTAGTGCCTCCTCTGGCCTGGCTATGGCAGTGCATGCAAGCCCCTCACGAATTTTGGGCAGCTCGGCAATGGCAGAAAAGCTTCGATGCAGTGGGCTGCAATGGCCCAGGTCAAGTGCACAAAGCGCTTCAACACTTGATGGATGCAGGGGTGCCTTGGCCTGGGCCTGACAGGCCGACACCCCAGCAGATGCAGTGCGTTTGGCCAGCGCGACGCCAAATGGCGCACGCGTATAAGGTTCTTTTTCTTTGATGCTGCCGCTCCGGGCGGATCCAACAGATTTGCAGACGTGGGTGGCACTATAGGACAAAGATTTTTTTTCCATAATACTATGGGGGTACATGGTACGGGAGTCCCTTTGGCATCACTTTTCAAGCCCCCAGTTTTGGGCCCCCACCGGCCATGTTTTGTCACACTATCTTCCAGTTGTGCAGTTTGAGAAAATTGGCATGGAAGCTGTCCAGACGGCATGGCTTCTGCAGCTAGCACTGCTCACAGCTCGTCGCAGAAAACACAATTTGACTATATATATATATATCTCTATATCTATAGCCATGTCGTCTGCCGCCGCTGGTATGGAAAGGGATGCTGCGGAAGGTGCTGCTGTAGCCCATGTGCCCGGGATGGATGACCGTATAGCTGCTTTGAAAGCTGAAAGGCAGGCCTTGAAACGCCAGCTGCAGCAAACCAGTCGAGAAGTCAAGGCCCAGGCTGGTTAAATTTCATCCTTGTGTGCCATGTTTGTGTTGGTGAAGCTGTATTGACATTCCATCGTGCCACTTGCACCTTCATCTTTCCCATCTCAGGTTTTTTTTGGTGAAGCTGCATTGCCCCTGCATCGCACCACTTGTACTTTCAATCTTTTTGTTTCAGCTCTGCGCCGGGAGAAAAAACGACGCAGAGTCCTGAAATCGGCGGGCAAACTGAGCACCCAAGACCTCTCGTGGCTCCTGGCCTTCAAAAAGACCCGTCAGCAGTAGCAGCTTCTTCAAAACTATATGTCTCACTGAAGCACTTGTGATTGCTGTCTCCCGAGGAGTCAGCAGCAGCTTCCTCAAAACTATATGTCTCACTGAAGCACTTGTGATTGCTGTCTCCCGAGGAGTCAGCAGCAGCTTCCTCAAAACTATATGTCTCACTGAAGCACTTGAGACTGCTGTCTCTAAAGGAGTCAGACAGGAATGTGGTGAAGTCACACGCGGCAGGTTACCTAACGACTGCTGTCTCCCAAGGCATCAAAAACACGTTTTTGCGTGCTTTGGCACCTGTTTTTGCTGTGGCCCCAAAAAACTACTAAGGATACTTCCAACCATTTTCGCAGACTTTGCATTGGCACGGCAGAGTCACAGCTCATGCACGCATGAAAAACTACTAACCCGTGAAATTGAAATCACAATGGCTTGGACGCAAAACTACTAAGGAATTCTGCCAATTGAGAAGAAATAGAAGAAAGTGTTTCCTTTTTTGTCCATTGAACAATTCCTTAGTAGTTTTGCCACCGAGCCAATACAAAGTTTGAAATTCCCCTTAGTAGTTTTCACACAGAAGCATAGTAGTTTTGCGGCAGAGCCAATATAAAGTTGTGACATCGTGCTTAGTAGTTTCACACCGAAGCATGCTAGTGTTGCAGTGGAGCCAATGCAAAGATTGACATCGCCAACGGCCAGTGAAGCATTTCATCTTGCAGCTGTGATGTGCCGCCTGCCGTGACGGCACATGTGTTTCTTCCTAATTCAAAGGGCCTTTCCGGCCACATGCGGCCCCCCCCTGCACCCCCCGGAATCAAGGTTGACGAAAATGTCTTGCTGTGAAGACCTGACGCTTTGGAAGTTGGCTGCTGCAGTGATTAACACCAGGAAACAACATTGATCCTGGGGTGCGGGGGGGGAGCCGCTGCTGTGACCCTATACGTGGGGCCTCGTGCTGTGTGTGCAAAAGGTCTGAATTTGGGGTCGCTAACGGACGCTGATTTCAGCCCTCTTCATTGACAACACAAACCTGCATGATGTGGAGAGATAACCAGCAGTGTATTTTCCATAACCAGTGTATTTTCCATAACAGTGTCATAACACAAACCCACATGATTGGACGGCTCATCATCATTGTTCGGTCTTGCCTGCTCCTCACAGGTCGCCTCTCCTCGATGTTTTTTCCTGGACGCAGCCATATGAATCAAGTCTTGCCGCGCTGACTGCATGCAACAGCAATATAGTTTTTTGTTTTTTGCATGAGCCAGACATGAATTTGTATGCTTTGAAATGCCGAGGCCATGCTTTGGCCGCACTCATTAGGTCATCTTCCTTGCTTCCATTCGAATTCAGCTGTATCAGACAGCATTGGTTTGACATGACACGAATGTTTTCAATGAGTCTGCCGACTGATAGTTTTTCTGCGGTCAGTCATGCAGCCGCCCTGTGGTGTGGCCGAAGGCACATCTGATGCCAGGGTGTCAGACTTGAAGGAAGCCTTGGTGCAGAACGGCAAAGCACTGAAAGCGGCTTATCGGCAGAATGCCAAAAAACGGAAAAGGTTGCACTGTGCCGGCCTTGGAGTGGCAGCCCGCAAAATTGTGGTAGCTGTTTACATGCTGTCGAATTTTAACATGGATTTGACTCTCCGCATGGCTTGTGCTTTGACAACGATATCCTATGGCAGCAATGGGTACCCACGGCAGCTTTGATCCAAGAGATGTTGCTGACGACGCCGCTGCCAGATTTGACCGCTTTGGATGACACAGCTTCACGCAAAGCGCAAGCCTTCCTGGCCGAAGCAGCCGCAGAGCAGTGGGTCTATGACTGCAATACGAATCATTGTCAAGCACCTTCTGCGATGGACACGTTTTTGAAGTGGGAGGAGGCCTTCCATGGCCAGAAGCTGGACATGGGTGTGCCAAACAAACGCATGGTCAATAAGTGGGTGCAGCGCTGGCGGGCTCGGTGGGGCGTCCGCCGGAAGGTGCTGAAGCAAGTTGTTAGCAGAGACCCCGCTGTACTGCGCGACAAGGCGCGGGCCAGCCAACTTACAACATTTTGTCTTCTTTTTTTGGGTTGGGTGGCTCCATTTTTGGGGCCGGAATGTGGCCCCAAAAATGGGTCCCCCTCATGTTTCATGCCTGTATAAGCCTACTTAATCCCGGTTGGGCGGTCCCATTTTTGGGGCCAGAATCTGGCACCAAAAATAGGCCCCCATTTTCAATCAATTTCTTCCCTCGGAATTATATTTGGGGGCCCTATATATAATAAGGCTTTGTCTTTCACTTCCTGCAACGCTCGAGCAGGTCATGACATTTTGGCGGGCCATCTGCTATTGCCACAGCAGGCTCGCAGACAGGGAGCTACTTTTTATAAATCTGGATGAGACTAGCGTCGGCCACACCATGACACCGCCTATTGGATGTGTGGCAAAGCCACGGACAGCAGGTGGCAAACAGCCGCATGCACAGGTGCTGAAGCAACATGTTCGAGGTGCGTGGACTTACTTATGTCAGCGTGATTTGCAACTGCAAGCACATCCAAGGGAAGTTGCCTCATTTTTTCATTGGCACCCAGGTGAAACTCACGAAGAAGCTCTTGCGCGCCCAGCGCGCTTTGCCACAAACTCGTTTGCGTGTTTTGCGGCAAAAGTCCGCTTGGACCTCTGCTGCCAACAGTGCCCAAATTCTCAAAGAGATCGCAGAAGTGCTGAAAAGTTTTCCGTCAAAACAAGGCGTTGTACTCCTTGATTGTGCGCCGGCACACCTGCCACGGCAGGTCATGGCAATGGCACGCAAGTGCAAGCTGCAGCTTGTATATATCCCAGCGCAGACAACGGATTACCTACAGCCGCTTGATCTGCAAGGCTTCTCCCCTTTTAAACAATATTTGAAAAGGAAGCACCAGGAGTTGCGCTCATATTCAGAGCACGGTTTAGTGCCTCCTCTGGCCTGGCTATGGCAGTGCATGCAAGCCCCTCACGAATTTTGGGCAGCTCGGCAATGGCAGAAAAGCTTCGATGCAGTGGGCTGCAATGGCCCAGGTCAAGTGCACAAAGCGCTTCAACACTTGATGGGTGCAGGGGTGCCTTGGCCTGGGCCTGACAGGCCGACACCCCAGCAGATGCAGTGCGTTTGGCCAGCGCGACGCCAAATGGCGCACGCGTATAAGGTTCTTTTTCTTTGATGCTGCCGCTCCGGGTGGATCCAACAGATTTGCAGACGTGGGTGGCACTATAGGACAAAGATTTTTTTTCCATAATACTATGGGGGTACATGGTACGGGAGTCCCTTTGGCATCACTTTTCAAGCCCCCAGTTTTGGGCCCCCACCGGCCATGTTTTGTCACACTATCTTCCAGTTGTGCAGTTTGAGAAAATTGGCATGGAAGCTGTCCAGACGGCATGGCTTCTGCAGCTAGCACGGCTCACAGCTCGTCGCAGAAAACACAATTTGACTATATCTATAGCCATGTCCTCTGCCGCCGCTGGTATGGAAAGGGATGCTGCGGAAGGTGCTGCTGTAGCCCATGTGCCCGGGATGGATGACCGTATAGCTGCTTTGAAAGCTGAAAGGCAGGCCTTGAAACGCCAGCTGCAGCAAACCAGTCGAGAAGTCAAGGCCCAGGCTGGTTCAATTTCATCCTTGTGTGCCATGTTTGTGTTGGTGAAGCTGTATTGACATTCCATCGTGCCACTTGCACCTTCATCTTTCCCATCTCAGGTTTTTTTTGGTGAAGCTGCATTGCACCTGCATCGCACCACTTGTACTTTCAATCTTTTTGTTTCAGCTCTGCGCCGGGAGAAAAAACGACGCAGAGTCCTGAAATCGGCGGGCAAACTGAGCACCCAAGACCTCTCGTGGCTCCTGGCCTTCAAAATGACCCGTCAGCAGTAGCAGCTTCTTCAAAACTATATGTCTCACTGAAGCACTTGTGATTGCTGTCTCCCGAGGAGTCAGCAGCAGCTTCCTCAAAACTATATGTCTCACTGAAGCACTTGTGATTGCTGTCTCCCGAGGAGTCAGCAGCAGCTTCCTCAAAACTATATGTCTCACTGAAGCACTTGAGACTGCTGTCTCTAAAGGAGTCAGACAGGAATGTGGTGAAGTCACACGCGGCAGGTTACCTAACGACTGCTGTCTCCCAAGGCATCAAAAACACGTTTTTGCGTGCTTTGGCACCTGTTTTTGCTGTGGCCCCAAAAAACTACTAAGGATACTTCCAACCATTTTCGCAGACTTTGCATTGGCACGGCAGAGTCACAGCTCATGCACGCATGAAAAACTACTAACCCGTGAAATTGAAATCACAATGGCTTGGACGCAAAACTACTAAGGAATTCTGCCAATTGAAAAGAAATAGAAGAAAGTGTTTCCTTTTTTGTCCATTGAACAATTCCTTAGTAGTTTTGCCACCGAGCCAATACAAAGTTTGAAATTCCCCTTAGTAGTTTTCACACAGAAGCATAGTAGTTTTGCGGCAGAGCCAATATAAAGTTGTGACATCGTGCTTAGTAGTTTCACACCGAAGCATGCTAGTGTTGCAGTGGAGCCAATGCAAAGATTGACATCGCCAACGGCCAGTGAAGCATTTCATCTTGCAGCTGTGATGTGCCACCTGCCGTGACGGCACATGTGTTTCTTCCTAATTCAAAGGGCCTTTCCGGCCACATGCGGCCCCCCCCTGCACCCCCCGGAATCAAGGTTGACGAAAATGTCTTGCTGTGAAGACCTGACGCTTTGGAAGTTGGCTGCTGCAGTGATTAACACCAGGAAACAACATTGATCCTGGGGGTGCGGGGGGGGAGCCGCTGCTGTGACCCTATACGTGGGGCCTCGTGCTGTGTGTGCAAAAGGTCTGAATTTGGGGTCGCTAACGGACGCTGATTTCAGCCCTCTTCATTGAGGGCCCTCCTTGTATATATATATATATATATATTATGTATATGGATATGGGGGGCTTTCCATAAATATCATCCATAAATAGGTCGCAAAATCTCTTTTTGGGTCGCCTCCCGGCCCGTGGAGATGGTGAAGGCGGCCGGCTCGTTTGAACCGCGCCTCGGAGGCCGTAAACAGCCACCGGGTCCTCTGTGAATTTAGTGGTTGTCATAGTGGTTACCCTCTGGTAAACTAACATAACTATGGAAAATCACCATTTTTAATGGGAAAATCTACTATCATTTTCAATAGCTACATTAAATTACCAGAGGGTAATAGTGTTTAATAATGGTTAATAGTGGTTAATATCCTCTGCTAATAGTGGTTAATAGTGGTTAATACTGATAATTCATGGTGATTGATAATTAATGGTGATTCATGGTGATTTACCCTCTGGTAAAACTAACATAGCTGTAGAAACTCAGCATTTTTAGTGGGTAAATCACCGAACTCAATGGCTATGTTCAATAGCTAGGTAACACATTTTCCAGAGGGTAAACATCCCTTGTTGGGGGCCCAGATGGCCCAGCCACTAGTTCACTAGTTGATCATTTCCTAAGGATATGGCTAAGAAGGAGAAATCTGAGCCCTCGACGCCCTGGAGCCCCAAGAGCTATGGAGGCCTCGTGATTCGGTTGTAGGTCAAAATCAAACGGTGCCCAAATGGTATCCTAAGTCATAGCTGGTATAGCTGGATGAATATCACACCAGTCATATGGTAATAATCGGTTTTGACCCATCCCCATTTCTCGCTGAGAATCACACCCATTCTTTCAGCCTCCATTTCTTGTTGTTCCTGCCGTTGCAGCAGTGTCTAAAGCGCACAACAAAGGACTTTAGGGTCCAAAATTCACAGTCGATTTAAGATTCTGTTCTTCATGTCGTCGCTTTTCTCTGTGGTTCTGGGGTCGTCCCCACATGACTCAGGGAAACCCCAAAATTCAACGGAATTTCTTGGTTTTCTGTCGGTGAAGTCCCGATTTTTGGATAGTAATGTTTCATAGTCAATGTTTGGTGTTCTTCTTAACTAGTGTGTATATAATATAATGTATGTACATATTTATATATGATATATGTATGTTTCAAGATTAAATTTCTTTGCGGTCATATATGCTTCAATATAGTTAATTTCGAATTGTTTGATGGTTAATTTCCCATGGTTGATAGTTGTATAAATGTCCATTTTTTCCGCCCACCAATTCTTTCCGGTTGAAGCTCCAGCCGTCGCCGCCGACGGCGCCTTTCGGCTCATCTCCAGTTCTCGAACTTTCCGTCGCTCGTTGGTCACAGCTTGCTGCAAGTCACCCTGGAAAGCACTTCGGAACATCTAGGGTGACTGGGAAGGATAGAGAAATCTAAGTTGGGCAGTTGGCCCCCAGTTATGTCTGTTGGTTTATAAACCCATCTAACTGTACCCAGATGCTCCATGTATGGGACATTTTTGACCTACATGTGGGATATGTTGGGGGTAAATGACGGTAAATGTTGACAAATAATGGAGCATATGGGTATCTTGCACAATTATGTACAATCCTTTCCCCCGAATACTACACACACCCCAAGAAACCATGCTGGATGTAGGGGAGTCCGGGAACACAAATATGTGGTGTTTAGTATTAGTATTAGGGGGTGAAATGATATATATATATATATGTGTGTGTGTGTGTACGTATACATAGCAACCCATAGATGGTAAATCATGGTCAGCTATAAAATCATCGTGGAGTAGATACAATATGGAATGTAAACAAGTATAATCATTTTAGAGAGGATTTTTGAAGTGTCCATATTCTGTCTACTCATAGCAACCCCAGAAATAGATATAAAAGTTGGAAACCTAGGAATGATATTATAAGGTAAATATCATCTATGCCATCTTGGAACAACAGTTCTACCTCTTTTTGGGGATACCTATATTGTCTATATATATATATATATGTTGCTATACCCCTGTAATGCTTATAACTAAACTTTAAAGCGTGGCAAACCTGCAGGCCAAAGGGGGCGGCAACGCCTGCGGCAGAAATTTAAAAATTGCGGGTCAAAATAGCGGGTTCTCCCAGGAAATCCCGGAAACCCCACAAAATCGCAGAAAATAACACCGAGGTTCTCCCAGGAAATCCCGGAAACCCACAAAATCGCAGAAAATAACACCCAGGTTCTCCCAGGAAACCCCGGAAACCCCACAAAATCGCAGAAAATAACACCCAGGTTCTCCCAGGAAATCCCGGAAACCCACAAAATCGCAGGAAATCATTAATTTCCTGGGAAAACCTGGGAGAACCTGGGAGAACCTGGGAGAACATGGGAGAACCTGGGAGAACTTGGGAGAACCTGGGAGAACCTGGGAGAACGTGGGAGAACCTGGGAGAACTTGGGAGAGCCTGGGAGAACCTGGGAGAACCTCGGGGTTGGGATTGACCTGGGCAGACTTAGGCGGACCTGGGCCGACCTGGACGGGGTTAGCCTGAATCCACCACGCATATATAAACCAGAGCAGAATTGGATAAAACACCACAAACGAATAGTGCTGAGCCAACACCGTTTTGATATGTATCCTGCACCATTCAAAAACCAATTTTAACACCCAGAAACCATCAAAAATTAAAACCCAGGCCCCAGAATCGTGATTTATATTATATGCATTACAGGGGTTTATCAATATATATATATATATGCATATATACAGTACATATAATATAATATAATATAATATAATATAATATAATACAATATAATATGATATAATATAATATGATATAATATAATATGATATGATATGATATGATATAATACAATACAATACAATACAATACAATATAATATAATATAATATAATAAATATATCTATATATACATATAATATACCCTTGTACAGAAGTAGCACAGGAAATGTAGATGGTGCAACTTGGTAGAGTTACTAGGAATTGTCATTCAAACATAGTTTTTCCTTAAAGAAATGTCCATCTTTTACCAATCTTTCATCCCAAGTGATGCCAGCTTGGTGCCTCTTCGCGAAAGAGCTCATCACGCCGGGCCTCCAAACGAGATACCTGGCCAGGCAATGCGGTCATGTGGTCACAGGCGCAGGGCAGGTGGTAGGTTTAGCCCCTACTCAACCAGAGGTTGACATTTGGGGATTTCTGGGCAGGAAATGGTTCTGGGCAAGGTGGAGGGTCAACCTGATCGACCGTAGCCTGCCCTTCTGGTATACACAAAGTAGCCTCGTAACGTGCTACAAATGGGTGATCTTGCCATAATATCTTGCATTGACCGCGGAGAGCAGTAACCACCCCTCACAAAAACTCCAGGGAACTAGTCCAATAACTATAACTAAAACCAAGAAGGATCTTTGATCCAAGAACTAAAACTAACCATATATGAGCAATCTCGGAAACTCTAGGTTCACGGAAAGGACATCTACAAATTTGGAAAGGTCCCAACGCTTACCACACGTTTGCACAAAAATGATGTATGGCAAATTTTGGGGGAAAAGAAACTCATCTAACAACTGTTGACTACCTCTCTTGCAATGGGGCCAAAACTCCGTTCACCCCCTCCTACCGTTCACTGCTCCACCCCATGCCACCCAACCTCTGCGAGTTCGGAGTCGAGCTCTTGGCGCTTTGAAGTGAGCTCCTGGGGCGAATCTATCCCACCAGCAGTGCTTAGCAACTGGTTCAACTGGCCTGGCAAAACCCAGTGATTGCTAGATGACATCACCCAGTCTATGGGGACTTATGATCACCACAGTTCTTAACCACCTGCGAGTCGTAGGACCATTCAGAAACCATCCAGCCATCAGTCGGTGAAAACATGATGTACCGATGGACCTACAAAAATCTTGTCACCAGTCACCAGCATTGAACTATCCATTTTGGGTCACGAATTTTGAGCCACGGTGGTTTTGAGCCAATTCCTGGGCTGCGCTGTCTAAAAGCGTCTCCGCTCAACTCCGCTCCTCTTCTTTCGCCGCCAAGTCCGTCCGTCGCGTCAATGCAGCGCTCTGCCGCTCCTGAGCCGATGCCATTGGTCAAAAAAAACTGATGAAGCACAGAAAAATGGGGTACCCTATTTTAGACAAACCGTTGGCTAGAACTCCCAAGGAATTGTTTCATAGTGTTTCTCTATGGTTTGTTGAGTGGGCATTTGTCAATGCCAACCCCGGATTGATAAGACCAGGTTGATTCCTCAGGGGCTTAAACCAACAAAAGTGATCATTTGATACCAAAAAGGTGCCGACCCACTTGAACAGCCCTAGGTAGTAGTGAAGGTTGACATTACTAACCATCAACTACCTGCGAACCACAAATGGAAGTCAAATCATGCATAAATTCCGTCTATTCCAAACAGATAAAACCAATAGATGGACAATCAGATAAATGCTAGTGCTTAATCAATATCTAATATCTGCGCGTTTTGCCCATCTCTGCCCCCACAAAAAAAATAAAGGCTCCCCCTGCGTCCTCCAGTTCCGCCTTCCGGCTGCCTTGCGCTTCTAGCGACTTGGTGACCCTGCCCCAGGAGCTCTGTACCTGTTCAGCAGCCGCCCGATGTCATTTCACTGGCTTCAGAACGGGAATGTAAAATGTCCTGCCTTGGATACTACAACCATTTATAACCCTATATATGTATATATATATATATTATCTATCTGCCTATCATCAACCAAGCATCATAACCATCAATGATCTCCCCATGATGTTTGATGGCAACAGCCTCCTAAAAGCCCCAAGGGCATAATGCCTCCTAGTCCCCAAAAATCAACTCCCCAAAGAATTTTTGGTTCATCCATCATCATCCATCATCATCCATCATCATCCATCATCATCCATCATCATCCGTAAAACCAAGGCCTTCTCCTGTAGCAAGTTGAAGGAAAACTGGTCATTCTGCGGATCCCGGGTATACCTGGCCGCCCCAACTGGTCAGGTGCCGGGAACTGGTCGGGAACTGGGGAACTGGTCCGGTCCGGGGGTCCTGGGGTCCTGGGGTCCCAGCTCATCCAGGCAGCTGGGATCTGATGAGGCTTCCGCTTCTAACTCCAACATCACTTTCTTGAAGGCCTCAAGCAGGAAAAAACACCTGCCCAAAAATGCGGAAAGATGATGGAAAGATGACCAGTATAGTTTGAGCTGGGGTGATATGTAGCATCGAAAATAGCTGAAGTTCACGATGTTGGTGCAATTCCCAAATAAATTGGGACTTAAACCATGAAAAACATTGGGTTTCATGGGATTTGAGCGTAATTTCCTTATGACCCCTCTGGCCATGAGTGGGGTCTTTCTGGCCACTTCAAAATGGCACATTTCCAGCTTTGCCTCGATCTGGGAGTGTTTCTGTGCAAGCTCTCCTGCCGAGTGGAAAGTCGCTGGGAAGCGACCCTGCATCCTTCTGCTTCTGGTTGATTGAGAGCAGTTTCCAGATTTGTCAATGATTATGCTCAACCAGTTCATGTGACCCCACCACTCACCCACAAACCACCCATATGAATCAGCCATTGATAATTACGAATAATTATCTAACCATTGGTAACACATCATCAACCATGTTCATTTTGGGGTTTGCGGGTTTATCCTTGTTCTGGTGTTTAAAATGCTGCCCATACGAGTTTGTGGCAAATTATTGAACCCCAAAATGGATCAAAACGGGATGTGTCATAATATTCGGGTTAAACTTACCGTTTCGCGGCATCTTCCATTCGCAAACAAATCCGTATATCCGTAATTGCCAACTAAATCCCATGAAACCCCATCACTAGTGCTTCATGCTTCTTAGTGGTTTAATTCAACATGAAGAAACCATGTAGAGTATGATTCTTTACCCCACATCTATCATTCTAATCCCTTCCCCCGTTCATATTAATATTAAACACACCCTTTATTCGAAACCATGGTGGTAGGGAATTTCCACATTCCATTGGGATCATTTATGATATTATATAGGAAATATAGTATCCGGAAACACCATTGATGATTTATGGCAATGTATGGGACCCCCTTAGAAACCATAGTTTATGATATCAACCATGGTGTGAAAAAATGTGAAAAATCTTAGGGTCATGGGATGACAGTAATTCCCACGTCATCGGTCCCCAAGGCTTCCTCGGAGGCGATCGATGAGTTGTTGGCTCAGCACCAAGTCTTCTTCCGCGCCTGCCGCCTCGGCTTGAAGGATGTTGGAAATCTGATATGAACATGTTTTAAAAACAAATAACGAAAGGATGTACATTTACCAAGAACATAGAAGAAGCATATGAAATTGCAGAGTTATACTATATATATATATATACATATATGAATTATGTTTGTGTGTGCGCATTGGAATATCCCTTTAGTAGATCGAATACTAGTCACTTACTCATTGATATGCTTTCCCATGTACACTACTGTATCTTGGGAAATGGATTAATGTAGGAAACCCAATACGCCAATAATAAGCTCCTGGTTGGAGGCATGATTTCTGGTACCTACCAAATAGTGGGTCCAAATGATGAGTCATTGGGTCAATGGAGTATGGTTGATGGCAATGTATTTATCAAATTTTGATGGTTTGGAGGGTTACAAACCATGTTCAATAATTTTGAAATATCAACCCTGTCAAGGATACAGTACAACCCTGTTTGCAGGTTGGTTTGCAGGGTTGTAAACCATTCTGTTCATTCTGGTGGTCACAATGATCCATTAATATAAATTACAAGTGGAGAATGCGTGAACAAACATTCATAACTCATTCATAACAGTTGATCCATTCATCTACACCTGTCATAATCCATTCTAAATTCACCTAAGTTCTGATCCATCAAAATTGATCCTTAGAGTTTATCCCTCATCCAAGTGATAAGGACCCAGAGGGCTCCCACTTCGACAAATCTTACTACTGGATCTTGTTTGGATCTGTGGAAGGAGTCGTCGTGTTCCTGCAAATTTGAGCTTCCCACATGGTGATCGCCGATTGTCTTGAAACAATCGTCGCAAACTCTGACCTTATCGTTGAAGCGACAGTCGGACAGCCGGATCTGACGTCATGGAACTGTGGGGAACCTCTCAGTTTCTGGCATTCCCGAGCGACAAGTCCCTCGGAATGCGTGTACGATTCCTGAAGCGAAGCACAGTATGAACTGCGATGTACATGCAGCTTTCGATTCCGAAGTACTAATGTGCTTAAGATTGAGTTACCTCAAAACCCAGTGGTTTATCATTTTTCCCATCAAGATTTAACACATTGAGTGGTGAAACCAATAATAAAGCATCACCAACTTCAGCAGAAATGGGTGACAGAAACCTTCCAAAATGGAAGGTTTGCATTGGGTTTTACCACATTATTCCAATACTTTTGCTTTAATTGTATTTACACAGTTATGTACTCTTCCAGTATTCATCCATAGTTCTTGGTTCTATACCACATCTTTAACATGGGGTACCCCATTCTCAAACACTCCTGTTGCCAACACCCAGAAAGTTCGCTACCCGCCTGCTGCAGTCATCGCACACCAAACCGCCACAATTACGGCAGTGGTGCCGCCTCCAGAAGCATTGAACAGTCCCCGCAGCATCCTAATCACCAAAAAGATAGACTTTAGGTTCAACTTATCACTACTTTTCGTAGGGTGAAAACAAAGTGCTATCTTTTCGGGGGGTTTCCTCTAATATAATCTGAGCATTATCTGAGCAGTAAATTCATATCACCTGTTCAATCCGAGGGCTACTTTTGATCGAATTACCCACATCACCAAGCCCTGACCGCCTGAAATAGGTGGTGAACTGCGAGCGACAGCGAGGACAGTGAGTCTCCTTGCAACGACAAAATTCGCTGTGTTGGCATCTTTGATGGCGCATCTTTAGCTCGATTTACCTCAACACTGGTATGATTTACCAACTGGTATGATTTACCAACAATGGAAAAATTTACCAATCACATAAAAAATGGAGATGTTCCATGACTGTGTTGAATTACCAGTGTGTGAAGAGCCATTGGAATCATCTCCCATTTCGGGGGTTTCACGAAATATCCTGGATATGATATGGACATAGAAACAAGGTTGGACATGATGTGCATGACGTGTCTCATAGAATTCCCCGAGAAATCTGTGATTACTGTAGTTCTCAAATGTTGTGGGCATGAAAAAATCTCATCTATGTTGGTTAAAGCCCATGGCCAATCTTGGATGCCGAGACACCCCGCAATTTATGACAAAAGGCCAAAGGATTTTTCAGATATGTAATGCAAGCAAACCCATGCAGAGCTGATCCGTATTTTTGCCAATCTCAGAATTCACCCTGATAGAGTAGTGGTCAAAATCCACTGATATACTGGTTAATATCCCAAATATTAGATGCTATTGGTTACTATTCCCCATTTGATGTGCAACTCTCCCACATTTTTGTTTTATTCAACTAAAAACGGACCAAGCCATGAGTTTGGGAGGTTGGAAGATTGCTTTCCACCGAAAAAAAATGGGGTCAAACTGCTGAATTTGAGGCCAAGATGGAGGTTTCCCAAGTTATCATCCTTTTTTGGGGGGGTGACCCAAGCCATGAAATAAACCATCCAGCTATTTCTCTGGATCCCCAAGCCATGTCGAAAACACGCTGTCCTTGCCATCGGCTTGTGCCTGAAAGGCTGGGAAATCCCTGAAGAAATCGGATTTACCAAGGAGTTCATGGGAATTTCCATCGGATTTTTGGGGAGATTCACCAGGGAAAATTTGAAATTCATGGAACATCCCCGAACTAAATGGTTAAATGGAGGTTTAGTTCGCTGGCAAAATCATCGAAGTAAATGGGATCTTTCCAGCCTGCGCCATGTGACTGATTACAGGAGGGTATAACATTTGGGGGCAATTAACACATATTAAGCTACCTAGAGAAGATTGAGGTTTGTGGATGTATGTACCCCTAAGAAACTTCCACACCCATCTGGATAAACTGCAACTGTAATATATAAACTTAACTAGCGTGATTTTGGGATGCTTCCGTATACTAACGTTCAATTTCAGTGAGTCCCAGTGAGGTCGTTGTAATTTACCCTCCAGTAATTTAATATAGCAATAGGAAATAACCATGTTGAAGAGGTAAATCGGCTACAAAGCCCCCATTGAAACACTTGCCATGTTAAATTTACCGGAGGCTATTCATCACCATTGATCAATCAATCCAAAAATAATGTTTGATATACCTAAAGCCCAAACAAAAAAAAAACGTCAAGATTGATGCTTCGACCGGCCGGCCCTTTGGGGTTCTTTCGCCTGTCCATCATCGGAGCCAATCAGCGATGGAGAGGGACTTGGAACCGCGGCCATGCTGGACACGTTGCGAAACGTTGAAACTGAAACCCAGCTGAAATCCATGGGCGTCCAAATTTGGAAAAATAACAACAAATCAAATCCTGAGTCGCTTCATAAATTGTTGTTGAATGGAAATTTCTTTAACCGGAAGTTCTCTCATGTCATCTTTCGAAGTCTGCTAAGTCTATCTCCCGGCTGGTCAAGGAGCTTGGCGCTGGCGAAGTGGCATCAATGAAAGTCGGTTCAAAACGCCACGTTCAAACAGCAGGAAGCTGATAGTGATGGGCCCTACCCATTGCGGAGACGTACCACTCCAATAGATCCACTAGGCTACCATGGGCCAGAAAAAGTGATGCCAGCAACGCACGGCCATGATTTTCCGAAAGTGCCATGATGACACGGTGGATTAACTAGAGTGAGACTTAGTGGAAGGTTTCGCTAACGTGGACATGCGCTGTCCAACCTAATCCAACATCCCGTCATCGCCAGGGGAGTTGCGGCGATGGACACCGTGTTCGAGCCACTTGCCCGGTGGTTTCACTTGTGCGTCCGCAACTTCCATGACAAGTGGCGCACAACTTCAAACCTTCTTGTAATTTAACAGGTCAGCCAACAATAGGGTAAAATACCTATAGTGGGACCTAAATGCCGCTCAGCTCTTGGCACTGTTTTGAACCAACGCTACAGAGTAGATCGATGATATATACACTACATGGTTTTACTGCAGGAGTTTTTACACCCCCCTCGGGCGAGCAGGGACGACTGCGGAGAACGAATAACCCAGAAGAGCATACCCTGGCGGGTAGCCAAATTTCTTTAGTTGGTTTTGATCATTTTTATGCAGTCTTTCAAAGGTCCCTTTAAAAAGCTCAAGCCCGTAAAACCCAGCGCAGCTTTGCAAGGAAGGCACATTACCATGCCGCATCTTGCGCTATGCTACAAAAGAAAAATCATCGTCTACCTGCGGTTCCAATAGATCCACCGGCCGCCGGCTTCGTCACAGTAATACCAAGCCCCACGCCAGAAACTCCATTCTCGGCGTGCACCATAGTGATCACGATTCCAACTCCAGGAGGCATCCGGGCGACCGGAGCTTGCAGCCTT